TATAAGTGTGCGATGTGTGCGAGTGTGTGTGCGGGTGTCTGTGTGTGTAGTTAGTATGTCTGCTCAAAGAATCAGCTGTTACAGTAACAGCAACAGCAACAACATTTTGCAAAATCAACTTTATGAGCAGCGCTGAGCGAGTTTTATTTTTTTTGTGTCGGATTTAGTTTCAGTTTCGATTCGCCCGTTGGCGCTCTCAAAACGTTGTTCGTCTCAACCGGATTGGGATTGTTATCAATATATATATATATTAATATCTATATATATATATATAGGCGAACGCGTGTTTTTAACCTACCTTAAGTTTTACACAGTATTTGCTTATCAACAATATTGATAAACAAAAATATATTTAATGAAATCTTCAATCATATCAAATTCGTGCGCGTTTTTCTCAAATCAACTTCGCTCTGTGCATGTTTTTTAAGTGTTATTTTTAAAATAAAAGACAAGAACTCCCCCCCACATAGCCAGAGACTCTTCAGCTGCCAGTTGTACTATTCATATAAATATACGAATAAATTTATATATATATATTTATTTATTTCTTGCCGTTGTAAGTTCAACATGTTCTGCATGAGGCATTATTTTTATGCCTCGTTTATATTCTTTTGCTCTTATCACGCTTTTCACTCATCCACATGCTTGTTTCTCTGCTGCTGCTTCTTCTTCTCCTTCTTCTGTTATTGTTGTTGCTGTGCTTTGGCTGTTTCTGTATCTGGCTCTGTTTATTTTTGTGTATTTTATCAATTTTTGTTGTTGTTTTCATTTCTCACGCTAAAATGCCGCCAACAGCTGTTAGACTTGCTCAATCGGAATTTCTATATGGTAACACAATTTCTATATAGTTCTGTTTGGCCTCTGATAAATCTAGTTTCTACATGTGTCCGGCAAGCGCATTAGCATTATCAAATCACAAGCGAATTACAATTTTCGCCCTCTAAAGCCCCAAATGACATGCATAACAAAAATGTTGCAATCGCCCAAACCTCATTAGGGGCAATTTACGCGGGCCTCCAAAAAACTAGAACAGGCTAGCTGGAAGTGTTGCACTTATAGATACCCTGTAAGCAGTTTTTCAACATAACTATTAAAGCATTTAAAATATATAATAATGGATTACATTTTATATACTACTAGATTTATATAGTGCGAGACTACCAGATACTCTATAGACATTTGAATTTTATATATTTATATGAATTGCATATATATTATATATATACCACAAATCTCATTTCACATCGTAAATAAATTCCTTTAAATTAGTTTTAATACAATTTACTATACAAGAAAAAAATCTTTTTGTATTACTATAGTTTTAGAACGATCTTTGATAGGCTTTGCGAGAGAGATAAAGAAGTCATATGTTTATCATAATATGAATATAATTAATTATTTTAATCAATATTAATATCATAGCATAGATAGATAACTAACAAAAAAAATAATAAAATGAAAATATAATAATAAAATATCATAAAATCGAAAAAAAATATAATAGAAAAAAATATAAAGTGAAGAAAAAGAAAAGTAAAACTATATATGGATATACACGTTTTAAAACATTTACTATTTTTGCAGAAATATTTTCACAACTTGAAATAAAATTTTACATAGTCTTAAGACATTTTACCAATTTCTTTAAGCCATGTTTTTACATTCGCTTTACCAAGTTGCTTCTGCTATACTAGTTAAAAAAAGTATAAAAAAAATGTTAAGAAAGTAAGCTAAAAAAATCACTTAAAATATGTGAAGTTGCATTACAAGTTGTAAAAATATTTCTGCAAAAATTGTAAAGCAATGGAAACTGGTGTTAATAAATTTAAAAAAACACAGGTTGAAAAAATGTGTAACCAAAAAGTGCACTTTAGGTGAATAAGAAAAAGAAATCTTAACAAAAAACGTTGTATAAATAACTGGGTAAAACGAACTTTTTTAAAACAAAAAGAACTGGTAAAAGAAAGATAAATGTAAAGAACTTCTTTAAAAAGAAAACTAGAAACGTAAACAGGTAAAAAGCAAATTTTAAAAATAACTAGGTATAGCCAGAAACTGGCACAAAAATCATTTAAATAAGATTGAGCAGGCATTAAACAAGTCAGTGACTTAAGGTAAATGAAGTAAAGTCAAGTTAAAATTGCTAAAAAATAAGTAGAACATGTGAACGAAGATAAATAATACAAATTTCTATAATAAAAAAGGAGTCGAAGCAAAACAAAAAAACGTGAAGTTAACTGAACTAATAAACAAATATTTAAAAAATAATAAATAATAATAATAATACGTTACTCAAGTGAAAATAGTAAAAAAAATTGTACTATTATCGAAATGTTAATATTTATATATTATGATACGACATATGATATATAGAAGCACAAATACGTAATTAGTATATAGCAATAGTACAATTATATAATGATGTTATTATAAATGAAAGCCATAGCCTAGGCAAGGCTAGGTCAGATCGAACCGAACTGAATTGTTGCTGAATTTTCAATTCATTTTCAACGCAAAAAAAATAAAAAATAATTTTCCAAAACAAATTTAAAGCGCTTTAAGTTTATCTACTATAAATCTGGCCAATTAATAATACTAGCAATGAGCTTATAGTTAATTGCAAAATTCATCAAATTAGTCAAATCTGAGTGGCATTTAGCTGATGAGAAAACTGATTACGGGGTATTCAACTGCAAAACATGCCACAGCTATTGTTTCACTCACTGTTGTTGCTGTTGCTGTAATTGTTGTTGTAGGCACAAATTGATTTAAGTGCCATCGTTAACAAAGTTAAATCAATTAGGGACTGCAACGAGGTTTTTTCCCAGTTTTGGCACGCGCAATTTAATTATGAATGCGAAAAACTTTGCCCAAATGCGGCCACAACACAAATAAATGCAGCCTTGCAGGCCATAGCTCTATGTGTGTGTATGTGTGTGCGTTGAATAATGCACTAAAAGAACTCAAATCAGCTTTAGCAAATGCCATTCGCGTCGAGTTAGCCATGCAGAAATTTGTGCAGCTCATAAATTCAGGCAGTTGATTGACTTTTTCAACAGCAACAAGTGTGAATGCAGTCCAAAAGAAGAAGCGAAAGAGCAAGTATCTGACTATATAATACTCGCTCAAGATACCAAAAATGAATAAGATTTGTGGAGATTTGTGCTTGGTCAGACTATAGAAAATAAAGGTTCTTTCGACTTACCCTCATCTCCAAAGGAGGCCTTCAATACAACAACTTTAATCTTGATCTATACAAGAAGAGATAATCTCGCTTTTGGGTCCGAAAAATATAGAATTCGCCCGTTTTGCCACGCCTCAAATATTACACAGCCTTACATTTTTTCTCTAAGTATCATACTAAAGAAGCTATTTCAAATACCAAGTTTCTAGCTACAAGAATGGCCTACATAATAACATGCCAATTGCATAAGGCCTAAAGTAGTTGTATCCAATCTTAGAGCTTTGTCGGATGAAGCTATACATATTGCTACATCTAAACATATATAAATAAATATGCTATATTTTACTGCATGCAAACATCTTAACTAGCTTCACCCAAAAGCCAATATACTTCTTACACCACTTGAACGGGCATCAAATAACCCCTAGTCGCTATTTCAATTCCAAATTCCATTTCACAAATTTTGCAGCCTAAAATCCCAAGCGCTGATTTGTTTGAATGGATTCATTTGTGTTCCGTGCGCGAATTCAATGTCAAAGTACAACAGCAACAACAATAATGAGTGTAACAATGAATGCTGTTTGAATAAATGCAATTTAAGGGTAAACAAAATAAACGAATGCAAATGAATCGCGCTTTAATAGCTTAATGAATGCCTGCCAAATGCGATATCAATTTTAATCAGTTTTAAAATTCAAATTTAGTATGCAAAGGCAATTTGTCTAATGGTAAAAGGAACACACTCTGATCGCGTATCAAATGACTATGGAAAGCCTGGCAGGACTGCGAGGTACCCTGTAAACTTAATTTTTGTAGCTGAAATTCAAGAACTTTTGCTGTTCTAAATAGGAAAAATAAATAAATAAATATGGTCGACAAAAATTGACAAAATTTTGAAATATAAATAAAAAATTCCCAATTTCAATTTTAATTTTACAAATTTCAGAAAAAGCTTGGAGAATTGCATGATTTATCATATCAACAATTTTATAAATATTAACTAAAAATCTGCTTAACAATTAAAAAAATTTAGTTCGACTTTTAACTTTTAAAAAATATAAATATAATAAAAATAAATATAAAATATATAAAAATATTTTGAAAATATCATATAAATAAATAAATATACAATATTATAAATACCAAAAATCTGCTTAACAATTAAAACAATTTAGTTCGAATTTTAACTTTTAAAAAAATTATAAATATATTAAAAAATAATATATTTGAAATATAAATGAAAATATTAAAAAAAAAGAAACATTTAAGTACAATTTAATTTTAAGAAGTGTCTTTCACATGTTAAATTATTCAATATTTATGACTGCTCAGACATACCCTGCAAGCTCTTCAAACACACGGCATATAAGACCCAACAATAATACTAATATTTTCGTGGCTGGTGCAAACCAGCTGCCAGCCATGGCTGGCAAAGCAGGAAAAGCCTCAAAGAGGCAAAAAGGCGTACAGAGAATAGGAGTAGGAGGGAGAAGAGAGGCAGAGGAAGGTGGAAGTCCACAGCCATAATATGTGCTCGTATTATGTTGGCTTTGCGGGGACCACAAGAAATGTTTATGCCAGTTGTTAAGCTCGTTGCACACGTGTAGCTCACGTCTGAGCATGTGTTTTTGGGCGTGGGGGTGGACGTGCTGTGCGTGTTGCTGCTAAAAAGTTTTAACAATTTGCAACCATAAAGCCGCTGCAGCTGCGGCATATTCAAATTCCATCAAATATTTGTTGCAAACAAACTAAATTCGTTTTAAAATTAGCTTAATCCTTATTTGTCTTAATTTTGCAGTGATTTTCAAGAATCAACTATTTAAACTGCCCAACTAACAAGTACAGTACATATTCAACGACACCACCGAGTAATTATCAGCGAGCCAAAGCCACAAACAAAAACAACAAACAACCGCCCAACAGCTTAATTTATATAAGCATATAAATATATATATAAAGCTAAAAACATATATATCCTAGATGGATCTAAAACATAGCGCCAGCGGCGCAGCTGAGAACGCCGATTCATATATAGCCAGCAGCAAATCCACAGATATGATCACGCCCAAGGAGAAGGAGAGCAAAGCCAGTAACAAAGCGCCAGCTGAACCAGCCGAAGGTGAGTTAACATTGCCACTTAACATTATGAGTTAACATTTTGATTTTACATTGTGATTTTACATTGTGAGTTTACATTGTGAGTTTACATTGTGAGTTTACATTGTGAGTTTACATTGTGAGTTTACATTGTGAGTTTACATTGTGAGTTTACATTGTGAGTTTACATTGTGAGTTTACATTGTGAGTTTACATTGTGAGTTTACATTGTGAGTTTACATTGTGAGTTTACATTGTGAGTTTACATTGTGAGTTTACATTGTGAGTTTACATTGTGAGTTTACATTGTGAGTTTACATTGTGAGTTTACATTGTGAGTTTACATTGTGAGTTTACATTGTGAGTTTACATTGTGAGTTTACATTGTGACTTTACATTTTACATTACATTACATTTAACATAAACACAATCAGCAACAGGACTTATCGTAATGATCATTAACATGATTATTATTACCTAAATAATAATTAACCCAATGATCATTAGCAAATGTAACAAAAATATAACAATAACAATTGTTATTAACTAAATAGTATATTTAAATTTAAATTTAATAACAACATACTTAAATATTATGATGAGCATTAACATAATGATCATCATTACAAATATTCTTATCATATATTATTTAAATACAAACAAATTAACAAACAAAACCTTAAAGCTATAGTTATTAAATAAATACAAAATTCTTAAATATAATACTTAAAAATAATACTTAAATATTTAACTTAAACATAACACTTGACTTCACAACACGACACTGCTTCACAATGCGACTGACCCACACCAGGCCAGGGAGGCGACTGAGCTGGCACCGGCTGCAGGCTCGCCTTTTATAGCTGAAAAACGGCCACTCAAAGAGCAGCTCAATTGCTGAGCTCAGATCTTCGTTGGAGTTAGATTTTACGCTCTTTCTGATGAGAAAGGAGTATTTTGGATGTGCGTATTGAGTTATGCGATTATTGCCATATTATTGATATTTTCATTGCCTCTTAATCTCACACTCTCTGTCTCTTTGACTATATTTCAATGAGCGCCAAATTCATTAGCGAAAAAAAAGAATTATGTTGCAATAAAAAGATAAAAACACTTAAACGCGCAAGCGCATCGTAAGCAACAGATCAGAAGAGAGAATATTACGGGCCAAACGGTCCAACTCTTACAACATCACAATCCACTCGATTTGGATTTGTTATTACTCTTATATACAACAAAGATAACGGGATCAAAAGCATTGAAAAAGTAAAATGTCCCCAGCACTCATTATACAATCCACAATGCTAGCTCTGCCTCGTGGGATAAAGAGAGGACTTATTACTTAGAATCCACAAAAATAAGAATCACAACAGTTTCAATGGTGTGAAGACGAATCACAGAGTAACTGTATATCTATTTGTGACCTCTTCTATAATATATTTCACAATCATGACTACCCATTTAAAGTCAAGCAAAACGTTTAAAGAGCACATGAAAGCGATTTTATCTGTTTGATTAGCATGCAATGCAATGCGATTCTGGTCACGACTGGCACACAAATCTTTTGTGGCATTAACTACACTCAATACATATATGTGTGTGTGTGTGTTTGACTGTGTGCATGCGTTTAGTAACTAAGCATTTGCATGCAAAACACTTTAAGCACACACAGAGGCACACACACGCACGTACACACAAAGCGGCCATTTTGATTTAACTGCACCTCAAGGTATGCAATCGTTTTGTTTGCATTCACTGATTTGCGTGCAGCGCTTATAGTATATACATATGTGTGACACAAAGAAAGAGAGAGAGAGAGAGAGAGAGAGTCAAATTGTATGTGTGTGTGTGCGTTGTCAACTAAAAATAACAAACATCAAAAGCTTTTCTTTCAGTTCGCATTTTCAATGCCAAGCAACTAAAAATGGTAAAGCACGTGCCTAAAAGTTGACAATTAAAAGGCACGACTAACAATTACTCTATATTTAGTAATATAATGAAATAATACTTATTACTTAATTTATTTTTTATTTATGTAAATTTTTGTATTTTACTTGTTTTTTTATTTTTTTTTTTTAAATAATTTTTTTATTTACAAATCAAGTCGTTTTATTGTTTACTTACTGCTAAAGTGTAGCTACTTTATAGAGCAGTAAGTGCAGTATATACATATAGGAGATACAAAGTTTGAACCCCCCACTCAATGAATTCCGAAAATATCTTTAACAAACTTCTTCATTTTCTATTAATATTCGTGATATAAACATATAATATTTAAAAGAAATATACAATATAAAATAGACCAGCAATAAAAATATACAAAATAATAAACAAAAGAAAACAACAAAATGTTTTTCTATTTGTTTTATCTATGAATATTATTGGCAAATAACAAAAAACTAGTTTTGCTGTCTTTCAAAGCCAGCTATAAAAGTTTATTTATTTGTTAATTACTACTAAGTGAAATCAAGCGGCTTTTTATTAGGACTTTATACATCTTATATTTATTACATATAAGCTGAGATTAACTAAGCTAAGCTATAATAATTTTAGTAAAATAATCTTAATAATTTTATGTAATATAAAGTTATAATTTAAATTATATAAAATAAATAAATTCAACCAATTGTCAGTCTAGACCAACGAAAGCTTTACTTATAAATATATATATGTATATATATATATATATATGTACATACTTTCATATTTATTTTAAATAGATTTTCATATCTCTAAGGAACTCAGCTAAAAAGTAATCCTGTAAATCTTGAAGCTCGTGCTGTGAGCCATTTGCTTTAGCCTTGTGAAAGATAACGAAGTTCTATGAGCTCACAGCTCAAGTGGCTGCCACACATGCAAATACATACACTTACACACACATATACACATATATATTGTATTATATATTTTGTCAACTCTCGCAGGTTACAAAGTCTATGCCAGACGCTGGGCGGTGCTTATTCTCTTTGTGTTCTATTCAGCCTCGAATGCCATGCAGTGGATACAATATACCATTATCAACAATATAATAACACGGTAAGTGGCTTAGAGTGAGAGAGTGGTGCAGGTGCTGCAGGTGGCTCAGCCACAACTAAGTTTTTTTGATAACTTTATTTCGGAGCTTTTCATATTTAATTAAAAGTTGCTAAAGTTTCTGCACGCTGAGCAGCACAGAGTGCTGCAGGGTGGTGCAGAGTGGTGCTTAACTATCAGATGTGTATATATTTTAATTGCAGCTACTATGGCATTAGTGATAAATGGGTGGATTGGACGTCCATGATCTATATGATACTGTATATACCGCTCATATTTCCAGGCAGTTGGTTTCTGGACAAAGTGGTGAGTGCTGCCAGCGGTGCACATTTGTTGAGCCGCTGTCTAACTGTAATTGAACCTAATTAGGGTCTGCGCATAACGGCACTCGTTGGCATCGTTGGCACCTGCATAGGCGCCTGGATCAAAGTCTTCTCGGTGGATCCATCGCTATTCTACGTTAGCTTCATAGGACAGGCAATAGTGGCGCTTGCACAGGTAACACTCTTAGCACCCGATATATAGAGATCTGTAAACTGAGTCAGATATGTGATAATTCCATTGAAGGTGTGCATTTTGTCGCTGCCTGCGCGTTTGGCTGCCGTTTGGTTTGGGCCCGATCAAGTTTCATCTGCCACCAGCGTTGGCGTCTTCGGCAATCAGGTAAGCTAGAAAGCCAAGCTTAAAGCGTACATTACGCATACGCCCCACTGGCTTTAAGCTGGAAATATTATCACGACTGAAGCAAAGGGCGACATTTGCATGAACAAGAAAAGGGCTGAGCTGCAGCCGTATTTTCGGTCAGATTGATGCCGCAATGCTTAGCTGACATGCGAAAATGACATTCGTGCCCTTAGCTTGACTATCTCTTCCTCTTTTTTTGCGGCTCCATGCACATTTCCGGCCAACGGAAGTGAACTCGCCCCCGCATCGGCCGCCCTCTTTGGATAGTTTGTGCTACACGACGCGTGCAATCATCAAATTGCCAAAAGCATCTAAAAAATGTTTAATAGTGCATTGTGTCGAAGTGACTGACTAGAAAATACCCTGTACATTATATTGGCAAAGCAACAGAACAAAAAAATTTCTTAGAGGGTATAGAGAAAGTGATTGGCCAGAAAATACCTTGAAGTTGTATGTGTCCTACCAAAGCATTTAGTATAAATACCCAGTAATTGACTTGTTGCCTGACTGACTAGAAAATACCCAGTATCTCACAAAGATTGATCGACCTATTAGTAAGTGACTAACTAGGAATACCCTGCGCTTCCACATATGTTACCTCGGGAAAAAAGTCAAAGAGGGTATACTTAGACATATATGACAGTAATAACTGACTGACTAGGAAATACCCTGTACTTCAAATACGTCGTATAATGGCACAAATAACTAATTACAATATAATCTACTTAATATTTATTTAATATATATATTTATAAAGAGAAATGGAGGAAAAACAAAAAAAAATAATTTATTTAAGATATTTGTGTTATGACAGAGAGAGAGAGAGAGAGAGAAACTATGTTAAAGTTCATCTCACAGCATTCTCGAAATTCATACAGGGTATATTAAATAACAAGAAACTAGTTGAAATGGAAGCTAAGCAAACTGATTGCACATCCCACTGCATCAGACACTAATGCAAATGGAAATGGAGAATGGAAAAGGAAAAAAAAGAAGAAAAGAGAAGAAAAACTCTTTGAGCACATTTTCAATTTATTCGACTGTGAAAACAAACGAATTGACCTGCCTTAAGTGGCAAAGGTGGCAAGTGTGGCAAGTATGTGGCAGCAATGTCACTTTGAGGTTAAGTTATATGAGTTCCGCTTTAAGCTGCAACAGCAGCCTGCGCAGCTGACCGCAAGTTGTGGCTGACTTTAGGCACTGCCACGCCCACTGTAAGTCCATAATGCAATTAGCATGTGGCCAAAAATAGCCCAAATACCAAAATACCAAAAGCCAGCCACAGAGATAGAGATAGAGTTAGAGAGAGAGAGAGAGAGGGAGAGGGGGAAGCTACTGCCACATATTGCTTAATTGCATCAATATCAAATGCCACAAAGTTGCAACTAATTAATGCAACACTCTGTGGCAACATTAAGAACTTTGTTGACTAACGCAAAACTTTTAGCCCGATAACGTGCGAAGACATAAAACCAAAATATTTCCTTCGACTTGCCAAACTTTGAGTTTCAAAGCGAGTTTTGCACAGATTTTTAAAGGAGAAAATTCAAGAAGAAGAAATTGAGAATGTGATTCCTTTAAGTATATAGTTTTATCCATATCATAGCAAATATGTAAATGTATGCTGCATAATAAATATTTTTTATATATAGATATATTTTATTTAATTATGTTGTTTAAATTTTTTTGTTTATATTTTTTTTTAATTGTTTATTATTATTTATTGATATTTTTTTGTATTTCCTATGTTGAGTCTTAAATACAGTTTAAAACCCAGTTATATAAGTCTTATACTTAGTGTAAGTCTTATAAGATCCAATACAAACAACATTTGAGAGAGAGAGTGAGACAAAAAATATAAGAAAGAAAATATAGCGCGTTTTGCATATGAAAATAAATGAAGAATTAGATTCAATAAAGCATTTGCGCAGTTGTAAAATATTTAATATATATATATATTTATTTATAAATATAATTACTAATATATAACATATATACAAAGTTAGAATAATATTATATATATAAAACTCCCCTAAGAACTGTAATAAAAGCTTTTTTAAATAGCTCACTTAACAACTTTGGACATTTCTAAACAAAATGAATTGCAAATTTAGCAACTTTCTTAGCAGCACTGAATTTGGCAACTTAGAAACTTGGTTTTATGGCATTAGTTTCGCACATTGTTTATCGACTGTGTGTATGTGCACATGTGTGTGTTATCGTCATTAGATAATGGACTCGTGCTTTCACACATATGACCTTTGACATTTTGTTAATTAACAATACGCTGGCAGATTATGGACGGCAAACAAAGCTAAACAATTAGTTTGCCAGCGAACTGATTGGAGCAGACAGAGGGGCTACCCTTAATGCTAGCTGACTGACGAGCGAATAATGTATAGCACGTGCAACGTGTTGCAGCTAAGCCAAATGAGGGCAACTCACCTGCTCGGTTGAACGTGCAAATATGCAGCATAAACATGCAAATATTCATGCGTGAGTGTGTGTGACTGTGCGTGAGTGTGTGTGTCTGAGTATGTGTGACTGTGTGCTGTCATATTTGCCATACGCTCGAGTGGCGCTGAAAAGGCTTATAATTTCCGCTTGTTGTTCGCCTGGGTCGCCATGGCAGGAAGTCTCAATGGGATGTGTATGTTACAATATGAGGCATGCCTCTCATTGTGTATATGCATGTATACCAGCACGTGGGTGTGTGTGTGCACGTCAACGTCAATGTAAATGTAAATGTGCCACCTGCAGCACCACCCACACTCAGCATTGGCTGAGGTCAAGTGCCTGCTCAATGGAGAAAGCCAAATGCAAATGTTGGCTTTAAAACGCCGCTTGGCAACAGTCGAACAAGTCGAACTTGCGGCCCAAAAATAAAAAAGCCGCAGAGTGGCAGTCAAGGAAAAAAGAAGATAGAACAGCTGTACACAGAAGCTTAAATACTCTTATAAACCAGCAGCTTAAGTAAACGTATAAGAGTTGATATACAAGGGCACACTTACCTCTCTTTTTATCTCTGTCTTTAAAGTCTGTTCACTCACTCACGTTCACTTTCTCGCGCACTCCATGTGGATCATATTCAAGTGCGCGTCAATTCTTGAGTGGAAAATTTTAGCTGCAGCACAGAGCATGCAAGACATTTTTTTATCAATTATTGACTACACATTCAAGTGAGAACAAGTAGTAGATAAATAAGACATTTTGCAAATAAACACATCACGCATTTACTTTAGCTTCAATCATAAAACTGCAAAAAAAAAAGCACACACGAACAAAAGACAACAGATCGGCAGGACAGCTGCGCACAGACTAAACTGCGCAGTTAGACTCGAGCCTGTGCTAAGACCCACTCACACTTATACATGTATAGCTAAGTAGAGCACGCAACTTGTATAACTCCTGCGCGCTCACGCGACGTCTTGAGCCTATAAATGCAACAGCAGAATGAAAGACGAAGATAACGGGAACACAAGCATTGCGACCAAAGGTGCGTCTGCAGGGAATATATATATAAACTACCCCACTTTTCCGTTCTTTTTATCTCTCTCTCTGTCTTTTTTTATGCTTACACTGACTAACAGTAATGCCTCGATCAAATATGTTCATGTAAATGTTTGAGCGTTACACATTTCGTGATAGAATTACAAAACTCTTATACTTGTGGTGCGAGAAGAGTATCTAAAGCGAAAACCAAGCAGCGGGCGACGTTCGCAGCGCTTGACATTGAATGCGCGTCGCCCGTCACTCCCACCTCGCCCACCTTCAGCTCGGCCAGGGCTGTCAGCGTTTGCCGCCTTATCTGGCAAGGACAAAACGCACCAAGCAGTAGCAGCAGCAACAGCAGAATCAGCAGCAGTCGAAGCAGCCAACGCCACAGGCGCAGACCCCCATTTTCATAGAATCCCGACAAGCGGATTTTCTAGATTTTCTAGAGAAGCAAGCTGCAAGCATGGGATTCGGCTTTGGCTTTGGCTTTGCCTTTGACTGTGCCAGTTGCCAAAGTGCTGAACAAACATAGTTTCTTTTTCTTTCATTTTTACACGCCGTACTCGTTGAGAACAATTTGAAATAGGGTATGTTGCCGTTGTTCAAGTGTGTGTGTAAAGGTCTATGTAAGCATAAGTATAAATTTTAGAATACTATAAGAGGTAACGAATTCGAATATGGTTGTTCAAGTGTGTGAGTGAACGGAAAGAAAGCGGAGGCTAAAATTATAAGTAGAAATGTTATTACATTATAAGAGCTAAAAATATACTTATTTAATTGAGTGTAAATGTGAGAAACAGACATCTGGGAAATTTTTTGTATAAGTGTAACAGTTAATGTGAAATATAAGAGAGAGCTTGAGACATGGGGACATTTTCAATAGAATATCTAACAAAAGTATACGAGCTTGAGAAGATAGGCAAATGCCTTGTTCAGAGCATGAGAAATATAAGAGTATTAAGGAAATATAAGGGCTAAAGTATTTATGTGCTCAGCTTTGTTCTGTTATCGATAATAATCGATTTCAAGAATGGCTTAAACTTAAGACTTCTAAGACCTAAATTGCTCTCTAACTAGCTTTTAATATAGTTTACTCATGGGTCATAGCCAGTTACAGGGTATCTGGCTGACACACAATCTTCCCTTAAGCAGCTGAAAGTTTTTTTTTTTATTTTTCGGTATTACAACAAAGTGCTCTGTTTCGCATATGTAAACACGCCAGGAAATGAATATCCCGCCTTGCCCTGCTTCCAAGTTAACCTCTTCCCTCCACCAGCCGCCCTTGTTTGTCTTTTTATCGGAAACCCCCTTAGCTGTTTATACGATATCTCTAGTGGGCATTGCCATAGACGATATGTATGTATGTAGGAACATTCCTGCTAGTTGAGGCGTCTGCTCTTTCAATTTGCTTGCATTATTGTCAAGCTCGCGGCCAGGCTCAAATATGTATTCTTTTAATATGCGCCCAGTGCCACGCAACTGCCGCCACTACCTCAAGGCGAAGGCAATCTCTCTCGCGAGTTATTCAAATTTAATTTATGCAAATTGTTGCGCTGGCAACAAGCATTCCCGGAAAACGGAGAACGAACCGATTATGCAATCGCAGAAATAACTAAATTGCAGAATAGAGAGAATAAATAGGGTCAAAGCTGCTCTGGCATAATATTTATGTCAATTGGCAAATAAAGCCAGATTTCTTATAAGAAATTTGAATACGACAATTTCAAGAGCTTTCACCTCAGCCTAAGAGCTTTAATAGCTTCCAGATGCTTAGAGGAATTTAATATAATAATAAAAATACTAAATATATCTGAATACAAATTGAGGTTAAATAAGGCTTAAGGTTTAAGCTGAAGGCTTTGAGCTTTAATATTGGAAATGAATTATACAGACGAGCTTTGATAGCATTTACACAATCTGTTTAATCTGACACAAAGCTTTTATAAGCTTTCAAAGTTACTTTTTATAGCTCTTCGAATAATTAAAATATAAGTTTTCATTCCTCATAAAGCTTTCACGAGCTTCAATGAGCTTTCATTGTTCTTAAACATGTTGAAAATGACTTCAGCAAAAAGTTTTCAGATTTCATTGCATTTTCATTTCAAATCAAATGAAAAGCCTCCTTCAGAGTCCTTTGTTATTCAATTAAAAATTGCAATTTATTCAAATTGACTTTTCCTTTACTCGCAATGCAATTAATACAAACAAAAGTGGGAAATTCAGCAATTCACGTGCTTTAAACAATTGGAAAAAAAACCTATGAAAAAAATTCCAATTGATTTTGTCCTCAATTTTAATGGACTTTACAAAGCGATGCCAGAAGCTATTTTTCAGCATGGGCTAAAACCGATTTATGGGACAAACAAAATTGCAAATAAACAAAAACAAAAAAACAACGCAGATGCGTGTGATAGACTACAAAATACCCTGCAGAAGCATGAAATGGCAAATGTAGATTCTTAGACTCAAGATAAAAGCATTTGCTTGACTAAGTGATACCCTATGATAAGCTATTGAATAAATTATATTTATGTGCACATGCTCGACTTGCCAATACCCTATATATGCTAAATTATATTACAATTTAGCTTTTTTCTGTATCAAAGCCGTTTCTTACCTAACAGACAAAAGAAAAGAGATATGCACGACTACATGATACCCTGTGCAGGACATTTAAGTGCATATGATCGATTTGCTGGTACGCTATACGTGCCAACATGCATTTCTAGGCAACTTAAACTCTGCCTTTGAGACAAGCAATCAAAGACCGCATTGAACGACTAGTTAATACCCTGTTTAAACTATTCCAAATAGATAATTTAAAGAAATCTCTCTTCTACTCTTAACTTATACAAGAAGAGCTGTAGCAAGATGAAAAATACCAAGTATAAGACTTGAATATACCCTAGAAAAAAGTGTATTTGTTGGAACTTTACCTTGCATTAGGTGAAATTCTCAGCTTCAAACCACGCTTTGGCCCATTGTTGCCAACTGCTGCACTTTTCACAGGGTATACACAGCTTTTTGCGCACAACTGAAAAGCTGACGAAAAATGCATGAGACACGGTTTTGCCACAGCAGCTGGCCAGACAACTATTGCCACATTTTGTGTTCCCCTTTTTTTGCAATGTTTTCTGGCATGAAATTGCGGCGCAAAAGTTTGACGAAAACAACAAATTTCGCAGCAGCAGAAACTGCCGCAGCAACAACTGCAGCAACTGCCACAGCCTCGGCAGGGCAGGACATATAAATCAATTTTACAGGACTAACGCGAACATAAATAAAACGAAACGCGCTGAAACTGAAGCAAATGGAAACGGATGCTCTTTGTTCGAAAACAATAAAATAAACAAATAAACGGCTCCGACCGACTGCGCAATGCTTGCTTAAATTGTTATGTGTCTTTTCTTTAAGAATGTATTGGAAAATAGAAGAGAGGTGATGGAGGATGGAAGATGGAAAAGAGAAGATTCAAGATTGAATTAGATCGAAAGTAGAAATAAGATCTAGAAGCTCTCAAGCTTTTTCATAATTCATTTTTATACTGTTATCTAAATATACACAAAAATACATTAATATCTTCATACCTACTCACCACTTTAGCTGGGCGTGGCAATTGGTTTTGTGCTGCCCCCAATGCTGGTACCAAACTCCGAGGACATTAACCAGGTGGGCTCCGATTTGCAACTGATGTTCTACCTAGTGGCCGGGCTAACTAGCATATTGCTAATACTCATGGCCATATGTAAGTAGAGTCTATAGTCCAGTCTAGCTAAAATTACAACTCGTATCGTGTTACAGTCTTTCAGGATAAGCCGCCAACGCCGCCGTCGGCCGCTCAGGAGGCAGCGAATCGTCTGGAGGGCTTGGGCGAGCAGCAGGTCAGCTTTGGGCAATCGCTGAAGAATCTGCTGACCAATCGGAATTTCATATTTCTGCTGCTCTCCTATGGCATCAATGTGGGCGTCTTCTATGCCATCTCAACGCTGCTCAATCCGGTACAGTAGCACCTGCGTACGAAGTGATGCATAATTGAAATATGATTTATTGTACAGGTGGTGCTCAAGTATTATCCAGGTCATGAGGTCGATACGGGTCGTATAGGCCTGAGCATTGTGCTGGCTGGCATGCTGGGCTCCGTGGTCTCAGGCATTGTGCTCGACAAGACGCACAAGTTCAAGTAAGTAAAGTTAAATGAATTAACTACGCATACGCAAGGTGTGCCACAAGAATCGAGGAAGAGTACCTCACACCTCACTCATAGGACAGAAAATGCAGCCGCAAAAAAGGAAATTTCCCTTTGAGTGCAATTTAATTTGACTTCATTTATACGTTCATGAGAGAGCGAAGCGAAAAATGAAGTGTGGAACCAATTGAGAAAGAGCAGCTACTCAAAAACGCGTGAAATGCGATCGAAATTAAGTATATTTCAATTGAACTGCATACATACATTACAGAGAGAGAGAGTGCAATTGAGAGTAAGCTAATTAAGGGTGAGCAGCAACTCAGTAGCCATTCCTCACTCAAAAGGAACAAAATGAAACAGAAAATATATAAATTTCCCTTTGAGTGAATTTCAATTGAAGCAAAAAATAGTTAAGTGTGGGACCAATCGGGAAAGAGTGTCTACTCAAAAGGGCAATAAATGCGAACGATAATGAGTACATTTCAAATTGAGTGCATTATGGAGAGCGCAAAGACAGAAAGCAAGAGAACTTTCGTAGTGTGTTAGAATAAGCTTGATCAGCAACTCCCTAACCATTAGCTACTCAAGTAGTAGTAGTAGTAGTCAAGTGAGTGCATATGTACATTTGAGTGAGTTATTTAATTTGAGTTATTTAATTCATAATCGAAGAGAGCATTTTATTAAGCTGTTGTTTGCTACTTGCAGGGAGACAACGCTGGCCGTGTACGCTCTCTCCATGGTTGGCATGTGGATATTCACATTCACGCTCGATACAGGACACATTGCTGTGGTCTATTTGACAGCCTCGCTGCTAGGGTAAGTTGTTGGCAACTAGACTTTAATTATCTTATATTTGATGATTGATTGCACGTGCTGCACACAGCTTTTTCATGACCGGCTACCTGCCCGTGGGCTTTGAATTTGGCGCTGAGCTAACGTTTCCCGAACCGGAGGGCACATCGTCCGGCCTGCTGAATGCCTCGGCTCAAACCTTTGGCATTTTTTTTACGCTCTTCTACTCGGAGCTCTTCTACTCGTATGGCGATGTGCCAGCCAATGTGGCCATGGCCGTTATGCTAATAGTAGGCACTCTTATAACGGCGGCCACCAAATCCGATTTGCGGCGACAGAATGCACAAGTGGTGCTGCCCACAGCTGTTGCAGCAGCGGCTAATCCGTAAACTAAAACACAAATACAAACACACATACACACCTATACACCAATACACCTATACACCTACACATCTATACATTCGAGTCGCTCTTTAAGCATTTGTTTTATAGTATTTTAATTTGTTGTTAACTTATATTTCTGTTGTAGCCTTAAGTATATCAAAGTGTTGAATTGTTTTTTAATATAACACACAAACACACATATTTATATATATATATATATATATATAGGCATTTATTTTTTTAATTTTATATATTGGCCAAATGAAATTGTTTTATTTTTAGCATTTTAGAAAGTAAGTTAAAAATTTGAAAAGACTTGAAAAAATTTAAGAGCAGCTTTAAATTTTCACTTTTTTGCGACAACAAAAACAACAACAAACACAATTGTTATAAAATATATATATAGAAAATTGTTTAAGCCCCTATATAGCAGGCATTATCCACAAATCCTACAATATTATATAGCCAATCATATATACCTATATATATCTGTTTACATAGCTATATCTTTGTTAACTAATCTGGTTTTATGTCTAGTTGAATTGGATCAGTGTCTAATACTATTGTCGTATACAAGCAAGAGCAAGCCAAACAGTGGCATACAGTCAAGCTTGCCTATACAAAAACATATATTCATATTTAGCTAAAGTCGAAAGACTATGGCAATACCCTAGAATGTGTCGATAGAAGAAATGCACTCAATAAATATATAAACTATATACTATATAGACTTCAAAATACCCTATAATATCAATGTTATGCAAAAGTTTTGGATTCGAAAATGGTTTGGGTTCAGATTCTAGAATAGTAGGATAACAGATGAATATCAGAGAGGAACTCTGAGAAATCAAAATAGAAAGAAATAAGTTAGGTAAAGTTTGTTGTAGCGAAGAGCGACTGTGGTAAGCATAAGAGTTGCAAAGTTATCAGACGAACAAGCAGAAAAAATATTGGAAAACAGTTTACAGTTATATGCAAAAAAATCTTGGTTCGAGCTTTGAACTTGGTACTGTGAGAAAGCTTTATGTAGAGAATATTGAAAAACAAAAACAAAAACAAAAACAAAATCAAAACACATTCCTGATACAAACAATGCTTGATAGCGAAGTATGAAGAAGCTATAGATTATCAGTCAGCCAAAGGGGGGAAAACAGTTGGACGCTTTAAGCAGAGAAGTTCCAGGACTTCAGATAGACGAAACTTTTAGAAAATTCTCAATAAGAAAACAGGAAACTAATAATAACCATAATACCAGAAATACCACTTTGTGTACATATTTCTAGAACAAAAACAGTTTTCAAAGCAGTTTCGAACAGAAACTAAAAAACAAAATCTCAAACATTTCGAAAATTTCGAAAAATTTCACTCGATGTACATAATTCTAAAGCAATTTCTGAACTAACCAACTGTAGGCTAAACCCTTAACTGTTACATGATGTACATATATATACACACACCTGGACACACACACACCTGCACACACAAAGCAATTGAACACTAACAATCATATCTAAAATGTGTTAACGTTAATTTTGAAGTATTTTACACTTTGAAAAGGGAAATCTAAATTATATATACACAAGATCTATACCTATATAACTATATACCTATATATATATACGTCTATAGTGCGTATACTTGTTGTGACATAGTTGAATTAACTAAACATAAACAAATTAGCACACTTTTAAAGCGATTTTGTAGATAGCTTTAGGCCAATTGCCAGTATTATATAGTATACATATATACACCTATTGTATATGTATATATATATGCATATATATCTAACCGTATTAGTTCACTCAACTAGTGTCAATTGTCAAACACCAGAGACTACCTAACAACCTAAACAAAAGCTGTTACTACTTATAAACAACCTACAACCACCTATTAAACAAGTACACACACACTCACATACACACACACATACACATAGTCGAAAAGTTATTACATTCAAAATGAAAATATATATGTATATGTATATGTGTATAGTTGGAAAAAGTATTCAATAAAAACCAAAAAAAAAAAACTTAATCGAAAACTTCTTAACTGCGTTTCACTCATATAAATATATAATTTTTGTTTGTTTAGATTGTATACACGCATATATATATTTATAGTATTATTAACATACACTGACACTGATTGAACATGAACATATATACTATCTTAGCTTGGGTCTTTTATAAATGGTAAACAGAGCAAATAGAGCAAAATCAAAAAATGACAAGAAATCAACTTAAATTAGCAAAAAATAAAAACTTAAATAAAACAGTTAAAGCAAAAGCCCCAGTCACCAAATGCTGTCTGCTTCAGTTGCCGCTGCCGCTGCCACCCATTGCTCAATGCGTTGTGCCCCAGGCGCGCAGCAAGGTCAACGCCTTGTTCAGATATGCCGCCCATTCGTCGCGCTCCTCCTTGGTATCGGCAGAGAGCAAATGCCGCACCGTTGTCGTCCGTCCATTGGGTACTATTATTAACGATTCCTGATCTGTGTCTAGAGCAGGACGTTCGCATTCGAGCAGCATCGTATTCAAGCGTGCGCATATGTCGCGCGGCGCTGTGCTCACTTTCTGTGAGCTGCACGCATTCAAATCGATGCTGCCCATTGGAGCCTTCTTCTTCTCATCATCCGGATACTTCCAGTAGCTGAGCAGGGAGCCATTCAGATAGCACCAGCGACGATGCCAGGCACCGAAGCCAGATATATCCTCGAACATGGTAAGGAACCCCTTGTACTCCACACTCACCGACAGCTCGCAATTGACCTTCATGTGCACGGTGCCATCCAGCGGACTAACGCCCAGAACTTGTGTCAACGTCCAGCTGGTGCGTTGAATCTCACGCAGCGAAAAGATGGCAAAACCATATTGCACCAGCTGTGGCGTGCGCACCACATGGGGACCGGCTGGACTCTGAACGGGGGGCATAACTAAACGATTTTCCCCACCCTTCTTCTTGGGCGTCTTAATGCCACTCTTCTTATTCACATTGATGTGGTACTTGAGCTCGTGTGGCAGCTGATCCCGCTGCGCCAGCATGCCATAAATCTCTAGAGTAATCTGTTGAGGAAATGTCATTAAAATATCTCCTTCGACAGAAAGTAATTAATCCTCTTGCTTACTCTGAAGTCCGCATAGACGTTGTTTAGCTGCAGCACATCGGGAAATTTGACAGAGAGCAGACCTGGCATGGTGGGCACCGTCTTGGTGGCCAGCACGTGCTCGTTGTACTTGAGCAGGCAGACCAAATGATGGCCATTGATGCTGCCCGTTGCCATTTTACGCACATATTCCTGTCGCAAAGGTATGGTGATATCCTTGACGGTAAGCAGGCCCTTCTCCTTGGGCGCACCCACTGGCCTTACGCTATTCTCCACGCGCAGACGCTGCACCTCATCCAAGCAGGCTTGACGACGATGAGCTACAAGCAATGTTTCATTAATATTTAACATATTTATATATATACTAGATCAATCAACTCCTACTTGCTAGCAGTAGATAGCGTTCGCCCTCCACAGATTCGGTAGAGCCCGAAAATTCAACTGTTGCTGCGCACAGATTGAGCGCCTGGCTGGCCTGTCCAATCACCTGCTGCTGTTTGCACACTTCGCCTAACAGCTTCTTGATCTTGTCCTGCGCCAAAGCGGCATCATTTGATTCGCGTGCTTGCTGTACCTCCTCGTCATCCTCGCTGCTGGCAGCCGGCTCCACATGCTGCGGTGAATCATATTCCAGCTTGTGCTTGGCATGGCAATCGTTGTTCAAAGCCGAGCGCACAATCTGCTGCTCACGACAAATCTTACGCACCGGCGTCGAATTCGAGCTCTACAAATAATTGAGATATATTTAAGATTTCTGCAACAAGTTATATATTAAAGGTGTAGCCTACACTGGCATTCTGCTGGCGACGATAGAAGCTGACGGTGTGCACGAGCGTAACCAAATTGTCATTATCCTGATTGACGCTCAGCTCCGATTTGACAGGCTGTGCGCCATTTAATAATGGTGTCTGTACATCCATTGCCTCCTCTTGCTCCTCATTTGTCTGACAGAGAGCACCACTAGCAGCAGCCGGTCTACGATAGGAGAAGCTATTGGAGGCTGTTGTACCTTTGCTCTGCGTGGTCAAAGAAGTCGTATTATAGACAAGTTAACATTTGATTGGAATTAAGGCTACTCACGCCCAGCGATAGCTGACTGGCATTGTGCTCATCCTCGGTGTCATCCTCCTGTGTACTGGCATAGTCTCCCACTAAGGCTTCATCCAAATAGTCATCAATGCCCGCAGAGACTTGTGATGAATTCATTGAGCTATCGCCGTCATGACTAAAATAATGATCTTGTTCGGCATAGCGTACCTGTTGATGAAGGGAAAGATGAAGGTTAAGCACCACCCGCTGTGCTTTGTGTATGCTACCTGCGACTCACCTTTTTGCCCTGTTGTTGTTGTTGTTGTTGTTCATTGCGCTGCACCGTGTGCAAGATCTCACGACCTAGGCTGCCGTTGCACATGCCCGCACTGCTGTCCTCAGTCTGCGACTGATCCTCCTCCTCCTCCTTCTCCTCCACATCCACATCTGACTCTTCCATGCAACTACAAATTAAAAGAGATTAGTTTAAGCAGCTATACAAACATTTATTATGTGCCTTGTCTAATGGTTAAAGCTAAGTATGTAATAGTCAGTCTCGTCTAGTCGTTGTCTACTCAATGCAGAGCAGAAACAGCAGGCAGGAATAGCATTTATCAGCGCACCTTTCAAGCTCCTCCTCGGTGTCATCGTTTATCGAGGCAGTGGCCGTAGCGCAGCAGTTGTCGCCGCTGGAATCAAGATCGGATAGCGCCGGATACAAACGATCATGGGATTTCCTCGCACGCTTCGACTCCTCGTCAATAACATCGCCAGCTGCAAAGAGAGAGGGAGAGCAGTGGACTTTAGAGGATTTCTGTTGACTTTGTTTGGTTGGCAGTTGCTTACGTGAGCGCCGTTTGCTGCTGGCCAAGGTCATGGGTGGTGGTGGTGGTGGCGGCATGGGGCGCACCACTTTGCTGCTGACTGGTGGTGCTGGCGGTGGAGCCACTGGTGCAGCTATCGTTAAGAGTTCCTTTTGCTTATTGAAGCGATTGGCTATGATTTGCATATCCTCCTGTCGCTGTCTATCAATGTCTTTGATGCGACTCTCTGCGCTGCTTTGAGCAGAGGCCACCAAGGCGGCCACCTTGTCCCGCAACTTGCTTTCAGGCTTTGGCTGTGCCTTGGCTGCTTGATTCTGTTGGCTGGCCACTGCAACTGGATGGGCTGCAAAGGTAAGTCAAGTTATTTGAATGGCTTCTCAGACATTACTTAAATAGCACTTACCCTTGGGCTGCTCCTCCGCCACAGCCGCCGCTCGTATCTGGTTAATACTGGGCGCTGTGCCTATTGGCGCCTTGGGCAGCATGGCCTTAGCATTGCCTGTTTCGAAGAGCTTCATGCGTTCCTTTAGCGACAGCTCACACGGATCTTTTTGATTGCGCTGGGCTGCCGGCGCTTGTCCATTGTTTGCTTTGCTCTCGAAGATGGCTGCACGACCAGACACTAGACCAGCTTTGACTTGGGCTGCGGGCGCTGGCACTGATTTGGCAGCAGGAGCGGGCGCACTGGCTGCGGCGCTAAAGGTTTTGGCCACCTGACTAACTGCAATTGATTTCTCTGGCAAAGGCGGCTTGGTTGTGGCTGCTGCTGTTGCCGTCGTTGTGGCAACTGTTGGTGCAGTTGACTCTTCCTGTTTGGCATAATCATAGGTATGTTTAATCGTGGAAGAATCGCGTCGCTGAAAACCTTGCGCCTCCAATGAGCTCAATACCTTGGGATCCCATTTTAATTGCTTGGTCTTGTTGCTTGTTGCATCCACGACATCCCCTCTAGGTGGGCGACTGGGCAAATCAGGCTTAGGCGGCGGCACTGCATCCAATAGGGGTCGATGCACATCATGATGCGCCGTGTCATCCTCCCATTGATTAATTGTATCCGCCAATGCGGCCAGCTTGCCAAGTCGTTGCTTGCCACGCCGTGGACTACGCGACACTCGATCCACATTGTCTTCATCGTCGGCATGGAACTGCCCCTCGGTGCGATGTATGGGCGATGACAAAGCATCCGCGTTGGAGTAAAGGGCGCCCATGCGCTGCAGTCGACTGCGCGAAGTGTCACGCAGACGAGCCAATGGCTGATTAACAAGCTCCTCCACATCGCCCTCAGCGCTAGGTTTGCTCGTAATTAGGGCTGCAGTCTGCTGCTCCTCCTCATCCTCATCACTGCTCATATCCTGCTCCTGTATTTCCACTTGCACCTAAACGTAGCGACAGCGCGCGTAAAAATACAAACACACAGGCAAACACACACACACACGCACACAGACAGAGCGAGAACGAGAGAGAGAGAGCGAGAGAGTTGTAACAAAATGCCAAGACAAAGACAAGCGCAAAAACATCCACCGTATAAAAGCGCAAGGGAAATGCATGTGAAAAAAAATAAAAACGGCATAAAAAGAAACTTACCCCAATTGGCTGGGCGCTAGTTATGTTTATCTCGATGCCCATTTCCAAATTCTCCTTATTCACAGCCGCATAGTGACGCAGCGGCTTGGTGGGCGATGCCGAAAGCGTTGCCTTGTCCAGGATAACAACTTTGCCAGCTGCGCTGCTAGCAACACTGCTTCCTTTTGGCACTGATGATGTCGTCGTTGTCGCCGCTGGCGTCGCTTCGCTTGTTACAGTGCATTCAGCTAATGGAAATTTGCTGGCATTTGTTATGCCGAGTGCGCGACTGCGCTGTTCGGCCTTTTCGAGCATGCGCTGCAATTATGAAATTCACATCAAATGCAGTTAGAAGACAATCAGTTTTCATTGTTTGCTTTGTTTCGTTGTACCTGGGTAAATGGATCCATTGCTGTTGTTGTTGTTGCTGCTGTTGCGGATCCAAAATGCAAATTACTCCGATCACTTATCTTTAATTTATTCTGTTGCACTCGCACTTGTAGTTAATAAGGTATTTATTTATTGCTAGTTAGTCGCGAACACTTTTTTCCTTTTAAAAACTAATTACTTTAGTATCTCTTCATAGATGCACGTCATTCGAAATTTGTGCGCGTCGCTTCTGTTTTTTCACTCGTTCGCGACGTTGAGATTTTAAATGGGCAAGCGTCGGTAAGGCAGAGTTATCGGTAGAGTTGCCACAGTGCCCAACATCACACAACAGTATCTATCGATCTGCATATGTTAACGTGCAGCTGCTTAACATTTTTCTGAATTCGTGCTTACAGCTTGCAATCAAAGCTGATATACAATTTTTTAATTTCTGACATTTAGAACTAAACAGCTTTACTCATATAAAAGTGAAGATAATCTTGACATATTAAAACATCTGTTTTTAATTAAACATTAAAAGAAAATCATTGAACAAATTGCAATTTTGAATTTAACAGCCAAGAACTAACTATAGCCATGAATACCCAATTGACACTTTTAAGTTTAACAGCTGCCTGGAGTCTACAGCAACATACGTTAAATAACAGAAACCTAACATAACATGCTCTGCTGTCATCGATAAGTCTTGTAGGTGGCAACTACTTGCGATGTTTTTAAGTGGCAGCACCAAAACAAAACGCGAGAGGCTGATGTTCATTTAAATATTGATAAAGATAATTAAATGAATGTCGTGTAGCAATTAGATAAATAAACAAACACAGATATTTATATAAATCTGCCACATATGCTGGTAAGTTGCGAATTGGTTGTGGTTTTGTGTGCTGAGTAAGTGTATTCCAAGCACTTTTGCAACGTGAGTTGCCATCAGTGCTGTCAGTTTTGGCTATGAAATAGCTAAATATTATATATTGCAGAAATGGGTGAAGAGCGCAGAGTAAATCACCTGTGGAACTGTGCCAAGGAGCTGAGCGCAGAAACACACGCCGAACGATTGCTTAAATCGTACTACATGTAAGCCTTATTTATAATAATAATGATTATATTAGTAAACCAATGTGTTTATAGTAATACGAGTCGCAAGGTTGCCCGCCACAACATACAATTGCCAGAAGAGAGTATCGGACCGGCTCGCATGTGTGTGCGCTGTGGCAGCCAATGGAGCGATGGCCAGTACAAGTTGCATCTGCAACCGCAGCGCTTAGCCAGTAATGCCAAACGGCGCAGGTTGATTGCCCAGCTGGAGGCGGTCAAGGCCAAACAGCAACGCGGAGTGCTCAGCACCGGTGCCAGAAAACGAGCCAAATGGCTAAAGAAGTGCATGGCCAGCAATGTGGTAAGCAGTATAAATCCTTTATACTAATTGTCAACTTATCATAAATCACTTTTGCAGGCTGTGCAGTGCGACCTGTGCGAGCATAAAACAATGTTGCCGCTGGAAAAGCCAAAGAAGCGCGCCAAAGCTAAAACAATGCAAGCAACAACAACAACAACAACAGTGAAGAACAAACAGCATACAAATAAAGATATCAATGCGGGGCCAAAGCTAAAAATGCCAATACAGCAAAACCAAACAAAAGCGCCAAAAACAGCAACAACATCAACAACAACCTCGCAAAGCAACAAACAAAAGAAGAAGAAGAAGCAGCAGCAAACGAAAGCAACGCCAACGCCCGTGCAAAAAGTGCAATCGAAGACACAAAAACAAAACGCGCTGCTGCAGTTGGCAGCGCAGTTAAAAACGCACGCGTCACAAAACGCCAGTAAAACGCAGCAAAATCGTTTGCAAGCGTTTCTTAAATAAAACTTTTGAATTAAGTACAAAAATCTATTTGATTGATTAACTAGAGCTAATAATTAGGTGTTACGTCAACCAAGTTAGTTAGCTAAATAAAAAAAAAATGACGCGTTTAAAACCGCAGCAAAAACGCCTGCAATCGTTCGTCAAACAAACGGCAAAAAAACGACGCTTAGGTACAAACATCGAGTTGTTCTGTATAAGTCGAGCAGATAATTAGCCTGAACAATAAACAAAAACGAAAGCAAATGCGCTGCAGCAGCTGGCTGGCGTCTCAAAACGCCAGCAAAACGTAGCAGAAACGCCTGCAAGTGCACGAAAATCTGGCTGCTTTGAATGAAAAGACTTGTAATTAAGCATTAGCGAAATACGTGTACGGAACAAGAGCAGGCATTGTGGCATGAATCAGTGGCACTGATTGTTGCAACCGGCTGGGAGCTGGCAGTTGGCTTCTGCCATATCTGGGAACCTGTCCGTTTCGGCCCTGCACGCACACACGTAGTCACGCACTTGGCTCTCAAGTGGAGGGAGGCCCGGCCCAAGGTTATCCAATTCTTTTAATTTATTTCAAGCAACATTTAATTAAAAATTGAGTTGTTTACCTGTGCAACACGTCCTTCAAGGCAACAGCTAGTTATAGCTGTATCTGTATCTGAATATGTCTCTCTATCTTTAGCTGTCTGCTTATCGGCATCACACACACGCACACGCACACATCCTAAGATGTGCTTTTAAGCAAGGCTCCGATTTCTAACAACAACATCTGCCACTTCTGATTCTTCTTGCTTTTTATTTACTTTTTTTTTGGCTGGCAATTTCTTAGAAGATTTCTGGTTTCTGTGCTGTTGTGTTTCTCGGTTTCTTGCGGGTTGGCGAGCCTGTTTGCTTGGCCGAAATTGGTCAAGACGGCAACGTCGATTCTCAAGTGGCCAAAAACGCTTGCATTTAAAATTTACATTTTTAGTTTTATGCAACAAAACTGACTTTGTTGTTTCCCCCAAAAATAAAAACAAAACCACTGCAAGCGCGAGTAGTCGACTAGGCGACACCCTGTTAACTACTCAAACATGATAACACACATAATGTTAAGTATGCATATGACTATAACTACACACAATACACATATATACCGTAATTCGGCTGTCGCTGCTCATCATCTGTCACCCTCCCCCACACACACTTGCTCATGCATATAAGGCTATCCTCCTTTCATTTCCCTTCGCACTGCCTACTGAGTATTAAAAACTTTGCGTTCTACAAAGAAAGTGAGCAGCAACAAGAACAGCTACAACAACAAAGCAGCAGACATCAGACAGCAGCTTCGTGTGTGCCTGTTTGCTGTCGGCTTCAGCTTCGGCTCCCCCACGAACATGTTGTGGGGAAGCCAACAGACCGGCAGCCGTTCTAGTCATTTGGCTGCGCTGCTGTTGCTTTTCAGTCAGTTGCGTTCGTGTGATTCACGGCCGCGCACACAGAGTCGCGCTTTAAAATTCGCATAGTGCGCGTAAAGCGTTCGATTGCTTGCGGTCGCGCCATCTCGCTCGCTCGTACACGAACGTATTCGCAATGAAAAGCGACTGCGTCTGCGTTCGCATTGGTTCTACGGAGAGCGCTGTTACAGAAAAGCTGTTGTTGTTAAGCTTAAGCAGAAAAGGTGTCAACGCCGGCGTCGACGTCAACGCAAACAGCAAGAGCAAAGTGTATGGGTAAAAACAAAGGCGCAGTGTGACAAAGAATCAAGTGAAAAACCGGATGCAAAATTTAAAAGCATAAATCAAAGAAAAATATAAAAAGAAAAGGAGAGAAATAACAAATCGAATACCAAAGTTGATTTTCAAATTAATTTTGAAGACTGCAGCGCAGGAAATGCAGTTTACATTTTGATAAATGACCGGAAATGCAGGCAGCAGCGCAGCGACTGCAACGCAGCAGACACGCCTGCGCTGTGGCCATATAAACTAAACAATTTGAAATGCCGAAGTCCCAAATCAAATATTTATATAGAAAAAAACTTAAGCAGAGTCAGAAGCAGAACCAAAACCTGAACCAGAAGAGAAAATGCAGTACACAGAAATTCGATATGTTCAATTACAACTGCTAATTAACAATAACGATTGTTTATAGCTCAATGCAGAAAAGAAAATATATAAAACAGCAAGGCGAATAGCATTTGCCAAACTACTTATTTGATGTGCCATAAATAAAGAGGGAGAGAGAGAAAAGGCGTGCAAAAAGTAAAAGTTCTAGAAGAGAAATGTTTAGATGTTCCTGCCTTCTTTCTCATATTTCTTTCTCTTTCTTTTATGGCCAACGACACGCGTTGCCTTTTTTTTGGATTTTGCGGATGAGTCACAATTAAAAAGGCTGGGCAAGAGACCAGCTTCAGCTTAGCGTTTGCCAAGTGGTAGCAGCAGTCACTAAGCCCCCACAAGTCTCTCTCCCACTGCCTCTGCCGCTCTATTCCTCTCCCTCTTTTTCTCTGTGTGTACATAATCTATTCCCAGTTTTAGCCACAAAAGGCGACACAAACAAACAAATAAACCGCAGAACAGACGCATAGCCTAGAGGCTGCCACACACACGTCCCCCCATACCACCACCCCTTCCCCCTGCCGCAACCCTTGCCCAGGTGCTAAGCGGCACTGCATAAACTAAGTATCGCATTATGAAAATCGGCCCAAAGCCATTTCGTAATAACATTTAATGACACATATGTATAAACAGACACAGACTCACACAGTCTTATAGGCTGACTGCAGCCACAGACCGTACCAAATATACATATCCATATACCCATACATATGCCATATATTCGTATACAGCTAATGATGAACAAAAATAAAAAAAAAAACATAACGTCATCGGCGCTGCGTTGATTTTCCACAGGCGCCAAACGAAGCGTGCAACCAAATAAAAGCAACAATAACAAAACAGACAATAAAAAAATAAAAACAATATATGATATTTTGGAATGCAACAAGCGGGTCGATCTATCCACTAGATATTCGAGTAAAGAAACTAAAGCTGGAGATGAAAAGTAGGAGAAATATTGGTGTATTATATATACATATAGTGTAGATATAGGTATATATATTCAGCAGAAATCAGACTAAGGTACTAACTAGATATGATGGGAAAAAGTTCAGAAACTGAACTGAACTCTAGAACTCTTCTACAGCAAGGCAAGATTATAATAGAAGATATAGATAAATATATATGTAGTGTATATACATACCTAGAGAATAGTTATATCCAGTCAAAAGGTGTCAGATTGAAGATAACTAGAATTGAGCAAAAATTAAAAATTGCAGAAACACCGTTTTCTATATATATATATATCTCTAGAACAGATCAGAAAATTTAATCGTTATTTAAAGATTGATATATTTTCAATGAAACTGTAAATATATATATATAGAGAGAGAGATATATATAGAAAATGAACCCTATATATATATATATATATATATATATATATTGAATAGAAGCAATAATATCGTTGAATAACTCTGAACTCTTATGTAGCCAAAGACAAGATTATCATATGATCTAATTAAATATAAATATAACTAAAATTAAAATATAAAATAAAATAAAATATAACTAAATTAAAAATTATATCTGCCATATAGACATATTCATGAGATATCAAGAGCAAAGAAATAATCAAAAATTTTAGGAATGTCGAAATAATATGTTTAAATAACTCTCAGCGCTTATATCAACAAATAAGCTAAGAATCTTAAAGGTAGTCTAAATACATTTTTTATTTTTAGCAAAATGGATATCTAAATAAAGATATATGTATAAACAAATACATGGACACGAGTCTATCAGTTCAACAAATATCGGATATGATTTCTATCAAAGGGCTTATTATATCAACGACAATCCGATGCTTCGTTATTTGGCATAATTTTTGAAAGTCAATGAACCCTATACAGATACCCATTACAAAAGTTTTTGCTTAAAAATCAATGGGCGTAGGTACAGCAGACACCAAATATGGTGAACAGCTGCCATTGTCTTGCAAATGAATCCTCAAAATATATAAAGACAGCCAGACAGGAAGGTAGGTAGGTAGGCAGTCAGGCACTCCCCATTTTTATGCAGGGTATTTGAAGCCAGAATTGAAGAGAGAATCTGTTTATTCTAGATCTTCTTGAACTGATCTATTTATAAACGCACTCTGAACGGACCATAGCATGGATTGGTTTCTGTTCCTCGCCCTCTCTGTGGGAGAGATGATTGCTTGTTGCTTAATTTAATTCTTGAGTTCGGGGTTTTGTCTCTTGTGCAAGTGAACTGTGGTGCGAAAAGGGTTAGTAATATTTGATCTATATTATTTACTGCAATTTTTATAGAGCGTGTTTCGCATTGCATGTGATTTAGTCGAACTGTGAGCGAGTTCATTTTCACAGACAACTGCTAATTGCTAACAACAACAATAGCAAAAGGAAAACATACACAAGTCCCAAATCCCAAATCAAACGATCTACAAAAGCCATATAAACATAAACATTAACACTGAACGCTTTGAATTAACGCGTTTTGCGAGACATCATGGATATCGACTCAAAAGCCTCGAAGCGCATTGAAATTCAACAGTTTCTACTGGGTAAGTGAATAGCAACTAAATAGAATAGTTAATAGTTGCCTAAACGGACACTTTAACTAGCCACACGTATATACACATACGTATATGTATGTATATTTATGCAGGGCATGAGTGGCTCGGGCATACCCTGCCAAAGTTGTTATTTGAGTAAATTATAATATTTATGTATTTAAATAAATGTAATTTGTTTTTTGATAGGTGTAGGCTTTAGCGGAACGTGCCGATCGTTGAGTTGCCATGTATATAATAAAATATATAATAATAAAGTAAAATAATATAATGCCATATATAAATATTTAAAAAAAAGTACAATAAAATCATTAAAAATATGATATGAAGAATATATTCAAAATATTTATGGAAAGTATTTAGCAAAATAATATAAATGACAACAATAATTAGTTAACAATCTTTCATTTATTTAACAAATTCAGACTTTTCACATAATTCAAATTGAATAATTTAGAAATATTAAAAAGGCAAATAAATAAATTAAGACTTTAATATAAAAAAAGTAATATATAAATATATATATTGAAAAATATAAAGAAAAATATTTAAAATTATTAAAAGAATTATATAACCAAATGTTAATCAATGAGAACAATAAATTAAAATTATTGGTGCATAAGGTCAACAATAAAATAAAATAACTTTGATAAGGGTTTCATTATTTACATATATATCTATCTATCTCTGTTTCTTCTCAGTCTCTGACAGTACCCACACTCTCTGCCTTTTTCTCTGTCAACTATCTCACTTTCTCACTCGCGAGAGAGCTCCCTCTATATATATATATCGCTTTGACGCTTCTATGCTAGTCTTTTTATGTCTTTCCGTCTATATATTTCTCTCTATATCTATCTGTCTCCATTACTCTCTTTCATATTCTGTTTTTCTGCTTATCTGAGAGATAAAGTTAAATAGAGAGATCTCTTTTTACTTCTATTTCTCCCTCTACCTCACCCTCTTCCCATCTTTCTGCCCCTAGCAAGTCTACCCTATTATTCAGTCTTCAAATCTTCTCCAGCTCCATTTGCACTTAATGCCATTTTAGATGTCGCTCTTCAGCGTTTATTAAACCACTTTCAGCACAATTTTATAAGTAGAGGGTATTAAAACAACATTATTAAACAATTATGTGTGCAGCTAAACAGAATATTAAAGCAGCTACGCATTTACCGCCTATGTATCTAGATAATTTAGAAGGCATTGTTAATTAACTTCAAGTCAGGGCAGCAACAAAACAAACTTTCGAGCCCGAACTACTTGTAGAAATGTTCATGTGCGGCGACTCGCCCTGCGGCCATACAATTTTCTTGTACAGCGAAACATTAATAACGCTCAGATAGAATATATAGTATATATATTGACTCATGCCATGGACCAACGTCCACGATCTGGAGCTGAAAAGAAGCCAGAGAAGCGCGATGGATGCCGAAGCGCAGGCGCAGACTGAGGCAGAGACTGGCTCTAAACGCGACTTTGAGCTTAATGCGCTTTGTTCTCTTCATACTTGGCCTCTTATATATTGTACAAATTTTATTAAAGCCCATTTTGCGGCTCTTTTTTGGCCAGTCTTTCGCCGGTTTATGCAGGCTTGTATATATATATATATATGTATTTGTATAATATATGTATATAGCATTTGCTTAAAGCCCTTCTCTTAACGCGTCGGCATTTAAGTTCTGCTCTACTCTGGCGGGGTTTAATGATTCAGTGTGTCAATATGACACAGCATTGGAATACTTTATAAACTGACAAAATAACTTAAATTGATTTAATATATATAATTTGTCAAAGGGAATTTAAGTTAATATTAATTCATGGAATATGTTTTTGAAGACATATATTTTGTAAGATATACATAATATTAGCCATTGAAAATATAAAAGTGTATAATGTATATATATAAATAATACATACATTATTAAAAACAGTCAATATATTCTTGCTCCAGCATAAACAGTCGATTCGGTGTTTGTCTGGCAGCGAGGTGTGTTCTGTATTTTGATTTGTTACCCCAGTTGAATAAATATTTATTTAATATAATTCGTTTATTCGCTTAGTCTTTGCTTAGACTAAAAGTCAGACTTTATCGCTATTTTTTAACCAAAATTAAATGGAATTTCTGTTAGATATTATAAACAAACAAAAATGGTAACTAAAAAATTTAATGATTAAAAAAATAAAAATATAATATTAATATTTTAAAAATAAAAGAATTGGCTAATTGAGGGTAATGAAATAAATTTATATAAAAATGTATGCATTAAAAAATTTTAAATCTATTTAAAATGGCAAACAAAAACTCTCTTATGACATGAAAATTTTTTACAAAATTTTAAATATTAATAAATTATTTGTTAGTTATAGGGAGCTCTAAAGAGTGCTCCCTATAATTATATATAAGCTTTCCTGTAATTTATGTACATGTACATTTTTTTACAATCGAGCTACCTTTTGGATTGACTTTTAAGAAACTAAATTATTAAAACTAAATTCCAAATTTCGTGGAAGTTAAGTTTTATTTTAAATGAAATTTAACCTTATCAATAAATTGAAAAGTAACGTAAAAGAATTACTTGAAAATATATATAAGCAGAATCACTTGATTTTCTTTTTTAATTTTGAAAGTGTATTTGGCATTCGTTGTGGAGTTGTCGTTGCTTCTTTTTCTTTTAAAGTTATTTTATACTAATTACGCTTGTCTGTTCAGTTCTTTGCGTGTTTTTCAATTGTAACAAGATTTGTGGCAATTTTTGTTTTGTTTTTATTATTATTGTTGTTGTTGTTGTTGTGTATGTTTACCGTTAAACCTACTTAAGCAGCGGAAGATGGGGCAGTGCCTGGGGTCAAAAGCAACTAGGGAAACTGGATTTTTTTTTAAATTTCTTATTTAATTTCTCATTTTATTGTTTTTGTTTTCTCCGCTGGCCAGTGAAATTGCTTTTAATTGTCTGCGGTCAATTCGCAGTTGACTCTTTAGGCTCCTCATATGAGCTCATAGGCGAACACTGTAAGCGCATATCTCTTACTCTGTATGACTCATGGCAACAGTTGCTTAACCCCTCGCTGAGCAGACGAAGCAATTGAATGCCATTTGGTTCAATGGAGCGTATTAAATTGAATGCGTTTGCCATATTTAGCCTTAAGTTAACATTACCCATTTGTAGACGCTCTTCTACTACTGCTTCTTCCTCTTCTTCTTCTAGATGTGCGTGCCCACTTTCGTGCGTCGCTAGCGACATCAGAGTATGAGAATACTTCGAATCTGTTCCATGTGACGGCAGCCGAGCAGACGCAGGAGCTGCTGCAGCGCTGTGAGCAGCTGCTGGACAGCTATGCAGACGAACAGGCGGCAACAACATCAACAGCAGCAAATGATGCCACAGCCACAACAGCATCCATTAAATCAAATGGCTGCAACGAAGTGGGCTCCGAGACCGGTTGCTATCTGGATATGATGTCCTCAACATCAGCATCAGCAGCAGCTTTAGCAACGCCAATTGCAGCCGCCGCCTCAAAGACTTCGCGTGAGTGCCACAGCAGAGTTAGATAGCTCCAGAGTCCATAGTCTATGGTCTATGGTAGTTATCTTTTGGCCAGCATGCCAGTAATTGACTTTAATTGCAGTGTGCGCCTCGAGGGAGTACATCGATCTGAGCAGCAGTCCGTCGTTGAGCAGTGATAAAACCTTTCGTTGCTCTAGCAATCATCATTTGGAATTGGAGCAGCAGCTTCCCCAGCACTCGCAGCACTCGCAGCTCTCACAGCACTCACAGCACTCACAGCCTCCACAGCAGGAGCAGCAGCTGTATGACATTTGCCAAAATCCTGGAGAAGATGAAACCCAACAGGTCTTTGCGCACGAACTGTTTATCAATTGCCCCTACGCCGATCTGCCCGCTGGACATTTGGCCTTGCAGCGTTCCATCAAATTTGGCCAATTGCATCGCATTGAGAAGCGTTTGTTCTTCGATCAGACCAAGAAATATTATTGTGGCATCTTGAATGATTGGATGCTGTGCTATGCTGACGGTCCGACCTCTTGCCGGCCCAGCAGTAGCCTCTATTTGAAGAGCTCGGCCATTGAGATCGAGCATTTTGGTGAGGGTAAACGTCGCGAGGTTTGCTTTCAAATCACCACCGCCGATCCGGGCAAGAAGTTTGTCTATCAGGCGAACAATGAGGTCGATGCCAAAGAGTGGATACATGCCATTGAGGCGGCCATACGTGGCGAGGCCGTTGCGCAGGCGACGCTCAAATCGCTGCGCAAACTGCCCACACCTCCGGTCATGAAGAGAAACAGCTTTGCGCCCTCGACGACGACAACGATGACCAACAATGACAGCATCTATGAGGAGCCATCGCCCATATACAACTTTGGCGAGGCACTGACACCGCCACGCCTGCCCGACAAGTGCAACAGTCCGAGTGCATTGGCCAAACGTTTCGAATATGACATACCAAAGTGTCCGCCCCAGCCACTGGTCATGGACGAGGAGCCAGCTGGCAATGAGGTGGAAACAGCTGAGCTGCTCAATGGTGGCGGTGCAGGTTGTAGTGGTGCTATAGCGAGTGGTAGTGCTAGCGCTGCAGCTGCTGAGCTCAAGGCACAGCCACAGCCGCAATCATCCAGCTTGCATGGCAACTTGGCGCTAGATTTTCAGGCCAAGGTCAAGACGGTGCACAGCGAGCTCTCTAGTCAGCTGACGAGTCCGGAGCGCCTGAAGAAGGCTGCCAAGAAGAGCTATTCGTGTGGCACCAACAACGAACCGGAGTTGCTCGCCCTAACCAGCAACAACGGTAGCAGCTGTAGTCCAGCCACACTCAAGGAGCAAAAGAAGCAGCGCAAGGCGGTGCAGACACCGCCAACGAGTCCACAGAAGCCGCCCAGCAAGGATTGCGACAAGCTGGCACGCAATTGGTTTCTCAGTCGCCTGAACAAGTCCAGTGCGGGCCAGAGTTCGCGTTCGACGGGTGGCGCCACGAGCAACCCCACCAGCATACCACCAAATGCCAAATGCAAGCAGAGCGAAAAAGAGAATCTACTCAACGGATTGGATCTATGCGATGGCAGCTATGATACAGCGCCTAACGAACTGCAGCAGCATCAGCATCAGCAGCAGCAGAGCAGCAATCCAACATCGCCCTGCCTGAAGGCGGAGGCCAAGAGCAAGGTGAACATGATCATCAATCAGTTCGAGAGCAGCGGCCATCTGTCCACCATGTTCAGCGTGGAGGCATTGGCAGCCAATGCACTGGCCTCTCTGACATCCTTTTGCGAGAGCGACAACTGCAACAACTATGAGCCAATTATGCCGTTGGCAACGCCGCCCAGCAGCTATCTCAAAAAGGTGTAGGATGTGGCATACTGGATCATCTATCATACACAGATTTAAATATATATGTAGAGTTAGGCTAGCGACAAAACACATACTTTTCATGTTTATCCTTTCTCAACATTGACATAAAATTGTAATATCAAAACATAAATTGGTTATATATACATTGGTATATATATATATATATGTTCAAAGGGGTATTTATGCAAGTGTGTTCGTGTGTGTGAGTGTGAGAGTATGTAAGCGTGCGCATAACAGCTTGCAATATAGCGAGGTAGTTAATGCCAAGTCGTTGAATAAGCCTCGCTTTACGAAGCAACACGCGCCGAATAGCGTGAGGTGGGCAAACGCAACAGATTGTTTCCCCGCATTTGAGATTCCACTATAGCCAACAGAGTTTCGCGTTTCCGTTCATCGGGCACCAATACGACTTTGGTGGACGCTTCTTTCGGTGAGAACAGGCCCATTATACGCTTGGTTTCGCGGCCGATCACCTTGAACTGTAGACCACGCCCGTTGTTCATAAAACTGTCCACTTCAGTCCACTGATACGACCACAAGGACTAAGCAATAGAAGAATATAAACATAAATATCGAGTATATAAATATGTAAATAGGCACTTACATTCCAGACTCCGAACATTTCATTGCGTTGCACGTAGAGCAAACGATGATTGGTAATTATAAGAAATTCGGTTTTGCTCACAATCTCCTCGCAGTGTATAAAATGGTCCGTTTCCGCATATTTGCCTTTGTCTACCTCCCTGCCGAGTAACAAATAAGCATTAATATGTGATATACACATGTAAATATAGTTAGAAATCCTACATAAGCATCTTGAAGCCTTGCGCTTCGTTAAAGCAGTAGGGACGCAGCACATAGTCGTAATGTAGGAAGCGTGTCGGACGCAAACGTTTGGAATCATCGATGCCCACGGTGGCGCGTTTGACTGCCTCAAAGCTGCCGCTGGCAAAGTCCACAACCCCAGCAGTTGGACGCGCCACCAGGCCGATTGCGCCTTTGCCCAGACCCTTGAAGAAGCCCTCTACGCCTTCGTCGCGAGCGCCAGTAACTGGCTTAGTTACCACGCCCGTCACGCCATCAACAAAGCCCTGCGCGTAGAAAAGGTAAGCTTAGTTTAGTTTGAGTTGAAGCTGCTGTGCTGGCTGAGCTCTCACCATGACCAGACCCTTGCCGCTGCGCGCGAGTCCCTCATGGAAATTCTTTGGTTTATTGTGCATGCCCCTTCGACGTTTGCGTTGATACTGTTCATCAAAGGTCAAAGCAGCTAGACCTTTGCCCATGGCGCCGGTGATTCTAGAGGAAGAGAGTTGAGTTAATAAAATACAGCTTGCTCTAGACTCCATAAGTGAGAGCTAACTTAGACATGGCGCCCGCAGCGCCGCCCACGGTGTGACCAAAGAGTGACTTGACGCCCAGCATCAGACCCTCTGCAAATTCGCCAGGTCCTTGAATGGCGCCCTGCATAGAACATTAGGTAGCTTTAAATTGGCAATTCTTATGAAAATAGTTTCATTTTGCTCACCTGGAACGGCTCATAGAACAAATCTTCGACTCCCTTCTTAAGACCCACCACCAAGCCGTATGGATTCCCCAGAACATCCAGACCCAGGGCCAAAACATAGAGCTGTTTGAGTGCCTGACCCGTATAATGGGAGGTCACCTCGCTGACCAGCTGATGTTGGGTAAAGAACTGATATTCACGCTGGAAGAAGGCCAAACGGAAGACGACATCGTTGACGTCCGTTAGTGTTACGCCCACACCTTGGACCAGTGTGCCGAGGAAGCCGGGCAGCGAAGTTGTATCGGAGCCAGCCATGGAGAAGCTAACATGTATCTTCAATGGACTCAAATGCAAATTATCATAGAAATTCTTTTGCTCCTGCTGCGAATGCTTTTCAAAGAAGGTAGATAACGGCAGCTCAATGGAATCTACGTCGTTGCGGAACAGTTTGGCCGCCTGTTCATCGGACACTTCGTTCGAGAACATCTCCGCAATGGCCGTTAGAAACACTATATCCACTTTAAAGTGAAACTCCTGTATCAGTATGGATGCATACTTGTATTGCTTCACATCTGAATTGGGTATCACACGCTGCACCACGCTGCATTCGATAAAGGGCTTCATCGACGTAGTTGTGGCCACACTCTTAGGTGGTGCTATCGGTGCCAATACCACACTGAATATGGGATCAATGAACTGATTGTCCACTTGTATGCGATTAATTTTCACATGCAATTGATTCTGGAAAGGCGATGATTTGCTCGACACCCAAATGGCTGGATAAAAGTTGCGACGCAAACGACGCTCGATGTGTTTGGTGATCGTCATTGTGTTAAAGTTCAGCTGAAAATAGTTTACAGTACGTAAGTCTATATGCATCTAAATAATTATTAAGTTGCTACACGCACCGGAAATTTGTTACCCAGTAGATAGTGATGGACTTCCTTAACAGACTTGTGCACCAGATAGCGTTGATACTCGGCTTCGATCAGATCGGAATCGTGCATGGTCATCTCCTTGAAACGTTTCTTATTTGGCTTTCTTGACTCCCAGACTACGCCCGAACTAGTAATGCCCAAATAGAGTATATCCAGGGCAGCCTCATTATTAACCACCGATAGGCCGATGCCATGTATATGCAAATCAATGCTACGCGTTATAGTCTGCAGTGCAGCAGAGCTCTCCGTTCGCTTGGCAATCGATTCAACTTCGGTGATCAATAGGACACGCTGCATGCCATAGAGGAAGGATACCCAGTATGCTATGCTGTCATCCTGCAGTCTGTAAAAGACAATCATGAAACATAGAACAGCCTTCAATTTACATTATACTTACATAACATTATCAATGTGATCGCGTTTCAAATCGGTCTCCTGCTTATCCTTGCCAAACACCAAGATCTTGGCACCTGTCGGGTCACCCCAAGCGAATAGAACACTATGTTTTGATTTCAGGGTGTTCATTATTTCGGTGTTCTTCTCGTAGTAGATAATATCCCTGCTGGTATGATTGATGATCAAGCCGGGCGCCTCTGCTGGCTGGTATTCGGTGAATGTCAAATAGACGCCACCTTCTGTGGACTGAACATCCACATTGACGCCGCCATAGGGACTGTTGTTCAGCTTGAGCAGCGTACAGGTCACCTCGGTGTAGTCAAAGGCTGGCGTTGTCTGCTTGCCCACGCGCACAATAAGTTTGTGCACTGAATCGCTTTTAGGCCACAGCGGCTTATACTCGTGTTCTTTTAATGCTAGCCAAGGATCGCCGGGACGATTAAGCTCTTGCAATTCGATCGTATATCTGCATTTATTGTGCGCTATATAGAACGGTATGAAGGTTATCTGTTTGGTCAGCGAATTATTCGTCAAATGATTGTGCACGCCAATTTGGTAGGTTTGATTGTTTGCAGTGCAGGTAACGCCGCCAATCGAACCAGCCACATCCAATGGGATCTTCTGACTCCACTCCCCACTTTCGATGCGGATGGCTGCCTTCTTCTTGTCATAGAACATCTTATCACGGAAGGCTAACAGTATGGGGCCTGAATACTCGGGTGGATGATACAGAAGTTCCACTGAAGACAAATCCGATTTGTAGGTGAGCATCTTGCCCGTCTTATTGATCATCCAGTATGGACTGTACAAGGTTAGCATAATTTTGCCAGCAGGATTAGTACAACTGTAATAGGAAATTACAATTATATTTAGTTAGCTGAATATGAATTACAAAACGAAAATAATTACCGCACAAAGAGATCCATTTCCATTTTAATATCTGAATCATAAGAGCAAAATGTCCAAATGGTTACGTCATTATTGGGATTGGGAATTTCAGAGGCATGTGACCAATCCTTCTCCAGATATTGCAATAGCTGTTCAATAAACATGACAATAACTATTAACAAGTGCTCAAAGCATTTATGAAATGTTGATTAGATTACGTACCCGTACTACTAGCACACTTTTTGAATCTTTGCCATTGGCGGACATACGGACTGTGGGCAAATGCAGGACGTGTCCGGGACTCACTTCCTTTTCGCCAAAATCAAGGAAGTCCTCCTTTACATAGCGCTCTTCTAATCCACCAACTTCTTCCACTGTGCGACCTGCGTTGGCATCGGCGTTAGCCTGGCGACCCAAGCAGCCAGCCACAGAGACTTTTATGTCAATGGGCAAGCAATTGCGCAGGGATAGTGGAGGATATAGATGAATCGTATAATGTGCGCTTCTAAGTCGATACTTGTTGGTGGTTTCAAAGAAAATCTCATGCTTGCGGCGCTGCACATTTATGTTGAGCGGCTCGAATGCGTCGATGGGTTCGCATTGAATTTGACCCTCATAGTTCATATCTGATTGATTGACACTCCAGCTGAATCCCTGAGATGACGTGTAATAGCCCTTAATCGAAAAGTACAGCTCCTTATCAGCGGTATAGATGGCGTGGAGCGGCACATTGAAAAGCTCATTAGGTTGCGCCTTACCAACAAGAATGAATCGATCTTCTTTCTCATGGCGACGATGCACCGTAATTGGTCGTATAAAATGGTTGAGGATCTAACAAATAATCACATATATACATCAAGAATTGATACATTTCTATTGATTGAGTTACGTACGCTTAAAACGCCATGTATATTGATGATGGTGGTGCCATACTCCAGCTTAACTTGGGATACAATGGACCACTGTTCATACTGAGTTTTAGAAGTCAGCGGAAAGTAACGCGTGTCGGCTTTGCTAACCGGCAGCACAACTGTTTCCGTTATATTACCGATCTGTGGACAGAAAAAAAATTAATTAACAATCAGATAATTACTGGGTGGCGAGTGCATGTTATTTAAAAATTACCGTCACATAGAGACTATAATCGTCAAATTGGCTTTCGCTCAACGTTGATAAGTCCTTGGTTTGTAAATAGGCTTTTCCGCCAGCTGAAATAGTGCAGTTTTGTATATTCGCTGGATCAATCAGTTTATCATCTGCGTTGCTTGCCGAGTGTAGAACTAAATGGCTATTATCGTGTTTGCCTCCGCGATGCACTTCGTGCAGCGTAAAGATGCCTCTTCTCAGATCCAATGTGATGTCAAAGCCCGTATCATTGACTACCACATAAGGAGCAATGACCTCTGGCTTGTGGATGCCCTTCTTGTCGATGGCTTGCGAAAAGGCTTCGCCCAATTCTTTGAGCAGGTTGATGCACGTTTTGCTCAACGTTATTTCCAGATTCTCTTGGGAATGTATGCGAATGTTCATAGCTGTTTCCTCGTGCGATTCATCAAATTCATTTTCCGTCTTCTCAAAGCTCATATCGAACTGCAACTCCCAGGGTATATACTCTTTGCTGCCATTACGTCCCACCACCTCGTTCAGCTCAATGATTGGTTCCCATTCAGCCATGAATTGATTGTAATAGTTCTGCAAGACATTAATATGCTGATTAAGTATAGACCAAATGATAAATAAAAGAATCATCTACCATATTCAGCGTTAGGGAGCCATGCGCAGTAAAGTTGCGGCTCCAGTTATTAAATACAGCCGTCATACGTGTGTCCAGTGAAATGAGAGGCTTTGTATAGTATCCTTGGCCCGATTCAATCACAATGGTTATGCTGGGCATCTCAACCACGCATTTCTCTGTTTTCTGCGGCCCGTTACTTTGGTTCGATATTCGTATTTCACTCGCTTCAGTGGCCTCTTCCACTTTTGTAAACCAATAGGTCTTAGAATGGAACACGGTCGGATGCCAAATTCGTGAATAATCCGGCTCTTCTCTATCAATGGCAGCCTTCTCAGCCGCACCGCTACTAATGCTGAGCATCGCTTTGTTCAGCAGCTCAATTGTTGTCGGCGATATATTAATGATAATATCACTGAGCTTAAGGCTAATGTGCATTCCCTCTGATTCGGGCGTGGAACCCTGCAAACTGATAACAGCCGGATGCAGAATATAATGACGCGTCGACTCGCGTCGTTCTGGCAAAAATGAGCACATATATATCTTAAGTCCATTGATTTCCCCATTGATAATCTGCTTGTCGCCAATAGACCGATAATTGAGATGGGCGTGTGCCTGCGGAAAGGAAACCGTTTAAGTCCAAGCAACAGTCATGACTGAAATTTTCAACTCACATTAAACACAATTGCCATAGTATTCAGATCATCCAGGCTTTCAACCAATATAATATCCGGCTGATCAATGTGCAATATCAGATTCACCTTTTTCGTTGAAGCGGTGTCTGTAACTACAAAGTTATACAAAAAAATTGGAAACAGATAGGTTAGACTTAAGGAAATTGAACATTTGGTAAGGGAAATATCTTAGTGCATATGTCAAAGTATATATGTATAACCTGATAGCGTATCGACTGTCTTTTTTGCACCGCCTCGTGCCACTGTTGCTGTTTCCGTAAACGCGCTCTTCCCAAGCGATCCTGAATCGGTGGGCAAACTCAGAAACAGTGTCAACTTCAACAGAAAATCAATGCAAACGATCAAATCAAAGCTGCGCACTCGCACTTCAGCTACAGTAAAACAAAATAGATATAAATATGAATTTATAGTATGTGGTATGATATTAGATAACAAGCTCATTGCATTACCGAAGATGTCATCCTCTTTTATAATCGCCGTTATATCAACCATGTAGTTCGATAGCTCATTTTGACAGGACTCAAGAATTTTATCTTTTCTGGTTTTCTCCGCATCCCAGTTCTTACAGCTAAGATATTGTCGAATTTTACTTCTGTTGGTTGAACGCGTATCATCCAATTGTATGTTGCAAAGGACAACGGATATACTGAGCGTGCCATTGTTCAGTTTGGTACCCTTCAGGGACAAATAGTAAATTCCGAAGCATGCCAAGCCGTCGCCTTCTTCTAAATAGTTGATCGAAATTTCAATTAAAAATTACATTTTGCTTATCGCGGTTCACTAACCCTCCATCAAATTTATAATGACGCCATCAAACTGAAAGTTCATCTTAAGACTTTCGCATACTTTTTGTGGTTCCACTACAGATTCCGCCATGGTATATACTTCTTGTTGTGTACCGATTTGATGAACACTACGTGACTGTGGCCGTTCGACAATTTCCCGCGGTGGAAACTCAGCATAGCCCTCGTTCAAATTGAGATTCATGATAGACATGATAAGCGCATAGTCGTCCATGAAGAGAGTTAGCTGCAATTAATATAAACAGATATATTAGATTGCTAAGAAATTCTTTAAGTACATTTCATTACCTCAACGGACTTTAAGTGACCCGACAGATTCACCTCTGGCATATCCGTGTACCAAGAGAAGGATAGATTGCGCGTAATCGATAGCGTAAAACTCATGGGATCCATCATATTTCCTGAGTTTTGAATCCCAAGAACAGCATCGACATCTAATCATTGATTACGTGCATAAAATATCTTTATAATAAACTCTTCGATTAACAAGTCTCTCACATACTACTCACCATCGCCTATTGTAGGGTTTTCTTCCAAAATAACCACCTTCGATATTTTGACATCTTTAATCTGCAGTTTTATCTCGTCAATGACTGCGTTTTGATTAAAAAGAGGCACTCTCTTCTCGCTAGTATTATTTGTCAACTCCAGCAAACCCAAATCAATGGCCAATGCATTTCTGCTCTGTGAATTCACCGGCACAAGTATAACGGGTGCCTTGATTCTAATATTGAGTTTCAAGCGCGTTGCCTTTTCGTAGGCATCGATTGCATTTTGTTTAGCTGATTGGGCAGCAGCTGCGCTGGCATTCGTGAGTGCTTCCTGGGCAGTCTGGAAGTGGCTTGTAAAGTTCTGTCGAATGGAAAGTAAAAAAACAATTGAGAATAACTATCTAATAATGTTACGACAGTGACCTACCAGTATGCCGGTGACAAACCAGTTGAGGAATATAATCTTAATGCAGCCAACGTCCACAGTTACTTTCATATCATCCGAATTGTAGTCTTGAGTGAACTCCTTGTTGTATATTACCAGCTGACAATGGAAGGCATCCTGACCCACAATGCTCAATATCTGTAAAGTATTTCGAAACTCTCTTAGTCTCACATTATAAATAAATCAATACAAATTATTGCACTTACATCCGTGTGTATTGTATTTGGATTCAGATCACGCACGACAATATCTTTGAGTCCGATGTTCACCTCGGTGTAAGAGTCCTTTAGCGTTACGTTTGTCACGAAGTTCTTCACTTGCATCATGGACAGCGGTCGCTTGCGTGAGGTTAGCTGAAGGCTAATCGCTTCAATATTCGCAATCATGCGCATTTTCACACTAGCCACGACAGTTTTGCTCTTTCGCAGCCGGCGTGCAGGCAACTTTTGGCTGGCGATTGTTTCGGCATCTTCCATAATGACTTGCAGCTTGTGCTTTAGTCCATCGCCTTCACCAGCAAATGCATAGCGATCGTGCGGCTTTACATTTAATAATATCAAATCTAACCGCTTCTGGAAATTGTTTGCCATTTTCAATAGGCGCTGCAGGCACTCCTGGTGCAGCACAACGTCGAGCACCTCGAAATTGGCCACCATCAGCTGTTCGATGGAATTGTATTTTGTATTAAACTCCGGCGACAATTTATCGGCCATCGTATAGTTGATTGTGAACAGATATTTCTCATCTTTCACATATCCGGGCGTATTTATGATATCCAACACATTATTCTTAGCGTCCACGCAATCAAAGTGTTTCAGATTTATACTGCCTAACCTGAAAGAGAAACAACAATTGATTTGATATAAAAAAGTAATTGGTTTTGATTTGCATAAGCTACTTACTTAATAGATGCAACTGTTTCATAGGTACGCTGTGCCATATATGTCTCCACTTGAAGAATCTCAAAGAATAGGGTCTGATTTAAATATTGAATGGCGGATCCACTTGACAATTGACTATGTGTGGTCGTCGACAGGTCTGGTGATACGAACGACCCTTCAGCTTCTTCTGTTTTTTCTGTTTCACAGAGTCTATTCGCCTCGACCAGCTTGATAGAGATTTTTTTAAGTGAGAAATTCAACTCGACATTGGTATACTGTGTTATTTCCGCTTCAACCGTTGGCTTTATAATGGAAGATGGGGCGGCCCGTTTCTTAATTTCACGATTTATGAAATTCGAAATCGAGCTGCTTGAGCGTCGCAAAGCGGGGGCAATTTCTGCGCCACTATTACTCTGTGGTAGCGGTATGTTGGTGGCCAAATCAACAGCCTCTATCATACGATCTTCGGTAATGGTGAACTGCACCGCCGGCATCTCAATGTCGACTTTGATCTTGGGCAAACGCGGATCGTTGTCAAAGACGCACACCGCAGCTACCACCTGAAGCGATGTCGGTAGCAGCACATGCAATTCAGATGACTCGGCCATCGTTAGGATATTCTGCCACGGCTCGTGTGGCCGCACCACTAGCATTTGCACATCATTTATTTTTACAATGAATCTGTCGTAGGAGTTTTCCATAACAGTCTTCAATATCTCCGTCTTTTCGACACCCTCACTATGCATGGCCTTAATATGGTCTGTGGTGCGTTTGTGGGGCTTTGTTGTTACATGCACCTGACCCAGACTTATTACAATCAGAGATTTCACGTCGGCTTCATAGTAACCACCATGCGGCACCACCAATATGTTGGGCATAAGCAATATATCAGCATCTAGTACCGATTTCTGATCGATAACGTACTGCATTCCCGTTGCTGAGCGCTCCTTGATATCAACCAGCTTCGAAGCAGCCGATTGCTCGAATTTCGATAAGTTCACATCAGTCGGCGGCTTAAAAACGCTGGTAAGAGCCATAATAGTCTGGGAATCGAAGGTGATCTGCAGTGGACGAGCGACGACTTTGACACGTTGATTGCAGAGCATATCAATCGGATTCGTTTCGAAGAATATGTCCAGCAAATTAAATTCATCCGTTGTTATGGACTCGACCAGTACGGGTCTGTTCTGATTTTGAGTTACTCCCGTCATCTTTAAGCTCTTCATGCCGGCTGTCAGGCAAATGGCATCAGCGGCCGGTCTTTGCAAAATCGTTGCGGTTGCCATTGAAAACTTCAACAATATTATCGAAGGCAAATTAAAGTAATCAAGTGCGCTGCCTTGATCGTCGTTAAGCTGCACTTCCTGGTATAGGCCAATCTCGAGTGCAATTAGTTTGAAATTCATTTTAAGAGCCACATAACCTATAGGTAGATCCTTCGGCTGCGAATTCTCCTCATAACCAATGGCTTTGTACATTTTGGCCTTCTCCTCTGGCGTCATAGCCGCCTCAAATTTACGGGCTATAAAAATATAATTTTTATATTTTGCTAATAAAATGTATGACTGTTATTTTACCCAATTTAAGACCAGTGGCAGCGCCATCGTCGTTATCTGACTTTGCCGCATTAGCACCCCACCAACCGCCAAACCAGCCGGATTTCTGCGGTGGCTCTGAATCGCGTAACTTGGCTATATCGATATTAACGCGTTGTCTTATGAGTAAAAGATTGAAGAGATCCAACTTTTCTTCGAGCATCTTACAGGACTCCTCCAGCGTTTTGCTTGGCTTTTTACTTGTTTCACGTTCTTTGTATTTCTGCAAAAGAGAGTAATTAGAAGGGTCTTTCGGATGCTGGCTAACTGAAGACATACATCTGCATAGACATTGCAACGTTCACGATGCTCTTTTATGTAAGCCCAGCTCCAGGTCTGATTCACACGTCGTACATCATGCTCGAGCACAGCGGTAATTGCAAATTTCCACCAGTTCTTGGCGTGACCCTTGTAAGCTGAAAATGAACGAACAGATCTTAACAGATTTACTTCAACTATGGATTGTATTTGACCCACGTATATTGTAGGGCCGATATTGCCGATACGGCAAGCCTAGCTGCATGCGATTCATGGCGTCGCCTAGCTGCATAAGATAGTGGAACTGTTTATTGGTCAAGCCCACGTTAAGCGATTCCATCTCCAAACTAAGATCAATTTTGGGCTTCTCAAATGCTGGCTCATCCAGTTCCGGATTCATGTTCAGCTTCAACTTCGAAATGCAGGAAATGGGACCCAGAACTGGAAAACAGCAAAACCACAAAGTATTAGATTTGTGAATAATAATAAAGAGAAAGTAGAGGATAATTACCATAACAGTAGTTGGTGGGCTTATAGCCTTTGCGTGCTATTTGTTGCTGGAACCTTTCGACAAGCACCTCCCTTTCTTCAGCCGCATAGAGTTTAGCCTTGCAGTTCATGTAGGCAGCGAGGCAGGAGAGATTCGCAATTTTAAAGACTTCCGGAGCACGTTCCGTCATATAGGTCTTTTCCCAGTTCTTATCCGTGGTGTACAGTTCCAGTTCATGCAGCGTTATGCCAAACGAGAACGGCGAGCCCATCGTTGTTGAGTCCTCATACCGCAAATGCACATTGCTAATTTTGATTTGCAAATTGTTAACAATTTGTGCAGTCAACTTTTCCGCGAACCCAGCATCGGGCTTGGGCACAGCTGCAAGGTAACAAGTAAAAAGATTATATATATAACTATATATATATTTGATTTGTATTACCCGGCTCTAGCTCCTTTTTGCGTGCTGCCTCCTGGGCATCCAGTGCAACCATTTTGGAAGACAAATTATTTTTGGCCTCCTTTTCGGGGTTGTATCTGACATTGTTGTTGGGCCTGACAAGCACATAGAGATCATCAATATTGGCTATAACCGGCTGGCTATACAGATTCTTCCAGGGTATTTTCAACACCAATTTGCCTAAGCAACGAACAATTATGAACAAGAGATAAACATTTACCTTCAACTACATTTCACTTACCCAAGTAGCCATAGACTAGCTGAACGGGCAAGTCCATCTCATCCAGCGCATTGCTGCGTATTTGCAGATTGGACAAGACCACATCGCCTAGAAATTAAAAAACATATATAATTAGATATATATTATATATTGATGGAAAAATAAATAGACAATAATTAGAAATTTTAAACTTTATTAATTCCGGCCATTACCAAATTGATTTATTGCGAAAATTGTTGTGCAAACAAATAAACAAAAACCGGCAAATGCTGAAGGTAAAAAAATATGGCCAACTATTTACAAATATGTTTAGAAACATATATACACATCTATCTATCTGTACATATATGTGTATATGTGTAGGCCAGGCCATATCAAGCACACATGGCTGGCAATTAGGCGTGCCTGGAATTTCGATTGTTTGTTATGCCCGGAATGCCATGAAGGCGAAGAATAAGAAATCATTTTTAACCTCGTATAGCGCATATTACATTTTTATTGAATTACTTATATAGGTCAATTTAGTTAACGATCTGACAAAAAGTTACCACATACTGCCTATGGAACATTGACCCATAAATCAGATAATATATGAATTATATGCACAATTCACAATTGTTTCGTATTATCAGTAATTCAGTATTATCATTGATAAGAAGTTAAAATAATATTGTCGTAAATTTCGAATTTTTTATTGTTCTGCAATTAGCCAATTATATAAGCTAATAACTTTTTATGAACGATCTAAAATACTTAAGTACTTAGTACGAGCTACTTAAGTACTTTTTCGTACTTTAATATTTAAATGTAAATGTTTTATATGGATCTAGATATAGATATTTTAATATTTTATTAAAGATATATGTTTTTATATGTAATTTATGGTATTTTTATTGAGTTATTAGATTCATATTTTCATTTTTTAGTTACATATTTTTGACTGATAAAGCTTTATTTTTAAACATATTTCCAAGAATTTAATATACTTTATAAGGGCAACAATTTTTTTATATGATATATTTCCAAGAATTATCGTTAATATAGTTTGTAAGCACAAAAATTTTTATTTTTTTTTTTTACTAGCAGGTGCTCCACTTTAAAAGGGTAAATTGAAAATTTTAAATATTTTTTTTTTGAGTCTGTGTAGCTCTCTTATCGCCCAACAACAGTTGCTTATCAGTTAGCGGCCTATTTAAAAGAATATGCTCACATAAAGTAAAATGAAAGCATTGGATGAATCAGTAAATGTATAATATATATGTGTAAACAAGTCACATACATGACTATATAATTGAGAGTGATTTAACTTAATGTATTTTACACAAACACATTGAATAGTAACAATGATTAATATTCTCTATAGACAAGCGCACAAAAATGAGCTCAGCTTAAGCTAAGTTTACTACAAATTTAGAGTATTATCATTTTCAACATGCATTTGAATTTGATATATATATATAAATTACTTGTTCACCTCTAATATCTTTGTTATTTCATGAATATATATATGTTTATTAAATGTGTCTGCCTGTTAAACAGTATATGATAATTATTTCTATACTCTAAATAGATTGTGCCTATTTTTCACAACTTTTATAACCTCAAATGGGTTAAAATGCAAATAAAACACTCAGTGAGCAAAGAATATATTCATGAGCCACGCATTATGACATCAGAGTTCAAGTTCAAAATTTGTTTGGCTGTCATTGGAGCAGAAACCCGTTTGCCGGGTCTTACATGCCATATAAGGTTTGAGGCGGGGCACTAACTTTATTGGACTTAATTAAAATTTTATTAGAAAAAGTTGATTGTAAAGCATTTCATCTAAATATAATCAAATCTGTATTGCACATTTAATCAAAATAATAAATAATAATTAATTGTATGAAAAGCCCTCGAAGTACGTAAATTGGCTTCGTAATGCGCAATATATATATGGATATTTTAACGACAATCAAAAGGCAAACGTGGCTTTTTATAATTTTATATCGTGTAATTTAAGCGACTGGCTGTTAAATTTTCTGTTTATTTTCTTACTTTATCTTTTGAGAAAACCTAAGCAATACTACACTGCTGAGATAAAGAAATAACAAGAATAAAAATGCGTTGACAAGATGAAGATCAAATACTCTTTGATTCCCTTGTTTGCTAGTGGAGCATAACGAATTTTAACAAAGAATCTGGCTTTGTAATCGATACGATCTATATACCTATGCATATATATTTACCTGTATACAGTATGTACATATGATCTATCTGTCATAGGAATATACATACAATATATATGTACATACAATTATATATACAATAGTATTCGTCTATCTTCTCTTAAAGTTACAAATTGTATGACAAAACAGTTATGCTCTCTCGTAAAGTTAAAAGAGAAACAGAAACCGCTAAAAAGCCGCAACTGTTATTGTTGTTCTTGTGCTTGTCTTTGCTGTTGCTGTTAATTCTATATACAATCGTCAGAGGGGACGGGGGAACCTACAATTCAAAGCATTCTCAACAGAAGCAACAGCTTCAAATAGAGACGGGAAAAGAGAAAGAGATAGAGAGAGCGAGTCAATGAACAGACATGGGAGAGCGCATTCTCGTTGCTCTCACGCTCATGCAAATATTTAGCAATTGGGTCACTGTACAAAGCCTGAAGGATAAGGTCGCACAAGAAAAGACAAAAAAAATGATGTGATCAAGAGCAATACCTATGTATGTATATGCACACGCACATATGTAGCATGGTGGTGGATAATAAATTAAGCTAAATGCGCAAATAGCGTGACAGTTAAAAGTGTCCATTTTACGTACACAATTGGGAACATTTTTAGTGAACTCACCTCCCCAGATGCCAATTTTCAATTGTTTGTGATCCAAATTTTCAATGTAATCACCCAGCACCTTGTTGAGCACATCTGCGACTATGGCCTCGAACACCATCCTGAAGCTGGTGGCGGCGGCGGCGTCGTCCCCGTCGTTGCTGTGCCGTGTTCAACAAACACCTTTCGACTCCAATTTGAAGATTCCAGCTGTTGGCAGCCAAAAGGCGGCTGCTTATTGATTTTGTAATCTTTCGATTGTTTGTTGTTATTTGACTTTCAACTGTGTGCGTGTGTGTGCTTGGGTACGCGTGCTTTTGCTGGTCGTTTTATTTTAAACGTTTCGATTTCGTATGAATTTAGCCTTTTCTAAACATTAGAACAAAACAGAATGGAATAGAATTGAGAGACCAAAAAATAATACACAGCGATGATGTTGCTGATGATGTCATCACTAACAGCAACCATCCACAGAAAAAATCAACCAAAACATGCCAACAAAATAAACACTGTATTTAAATAATTCGCTGAGCATTACAAAAAAAACTACACAAAATGCGTAAAACATTTGGCATTGTTTTCAAAGTGTTACGTTAATTAGCAACAAATTGTGGGTGTTGGTGCTGGCATGTGTGAATGCCTTTCTGGAATCGATATGAATTCACTTATAATATTCACTTTTCTTGCATACATAGCTCAGCTGCTTTTATTTGCTATTTCCATATATATAAAGCTTTATCTTTAATTGCCAAGTGGTTCACAGCACACAACAACAATAACACTGTAGAAAATTTACCTTGCGCAGTGTAACATATTCTTCATTACGCATCAAATAAAATTAACCCGACACCGACGGCCACTCGATTACAACTGAACGCGAGCGGTCAACAGCTGTGCCCGTCTGGTCGTTCAAGTATCGGGAGAGTCACTCAATATGTACAGCAATGTGCGCGCTCTTCACTGTTAACATAACATAACATAATGTAACAGACAGTGAAGTGGGTTAGGTTTCGCGGCCTCACTCATTTTCCACTCTTTCATGTGCTATGTTATTAAGAATGTGACCATTAAATATGTTAAGCATTTGTTTTGTTCGCGCTTTCCTGTGAATACCATTTTTCTTGGACAGCTGTTTATCTGTCCGCGCTTTGCTGTTCCAAGAGAATGCAAATTTACAAGCTGACGTGTTGAGCTGCGGGTGCAAATAAAATAAGATTAAATAATGCAAATACAGTTTATTTTACTCATATTGGCCATTGTGCCCGTTGTGCTGTCCAAGAAGTTCAAGGATGAGGAGAAGCCAGAGTGGGCAAAAAAGGATATTCGGGATTACAGCGAAGCCGATTTGGAACGGCTGCTCGACCAATGGGATGTACGTAAAAGGTAAAATTCAGCTAGAGAAACAGAGTAAAAATGCATTTTACAGGAAGATGAGGATCCACTTGAGCCAGATGAACTGCCGGAACACTTGCGGCCTCAGCCAAAACTGGATTTCTCAAATTTAGACAGCAAAAACCCCGAAGAGCTGCTCAAAGTATCGAAAAAAGGTCGCACGCTCATGACATTTGTTTCGGTCACCGGCAATCCCACTCGAGAGCAGGGCGAGGAGATAACTAAGTTGTGGCAGACCAGCTTATGGAATAATCATATACAAGCGGAGCGTTATATGGTTGACGACAATCGAGCGATATTCCTGTTCAAAGATGGAGCCCAGGCCTGGGAGGCAAAAGACTTTTTGGTGGAGCAGGAGCGTTGCAAAGGCGTTACTATTGAAAATAAAGAATATCCTGGCGTACATGTTAAGGACGAACTATAATTGTATTGCTTATATCTAAGCACTCCAAGCTACATACATTCTCAATGTAAAAGTATTTATTAAGCGAAAAAATGAACAAATTGAAGTCATCAAATTGAAAAATAAAACCACTTGTTGTTTGACCATTCGCGTGTTAACGTTACCAGATGAGTGCAGCCCTCGTTTTGGGATGTTTACGTTTCGAGCACCAACTCTCCTCAGTTTGACCTTAACAAGCACAACGGCATCTCCAACTTACCCTAAGACGCGTCCACATTGCAGCGCCTGTAACAACACCAACAAGATGCCAATTCAAGCGAAAATCGGTCCGTCTATATTAAACGCAGATTTGGCCAATTTAGCAGCCGAGTCACAGAAATTGCTAGACAATGGTGCAGACTATTTGCATCTGGATGTTATGGACGGTGAGTTTGTGCCAAATCTCACCTTTGGCCATCCCATGGTAAAATGTTTGCGTAACCATATCAAGGTAAGCGTGTGGCTTTGCTTATTGGCTTATGCAAATTTGTATTTGTGTATGTTCTGTGTAGGAGGCATTCTTTGAGACACACATGATGGTTCAGAATCCAGAGCAATGGATAACGCCAATGGCAGATGCGGGCGTTAATCTTTATACATTTCATGTGGAGCCCGTCAAGGACGTGTGCAATGTTACACGACAAATACAGGAGGCCGGCATGAAAGTGGGCCTGGCCATCAAACCAGGTACTCCGGTAATACTTTGAGGTTATGTGCGCATGCGCTATCTAATGAAACATGTTTTAGGTAAATGTTATTGAGAAATATATAGATGTAGCAGATCTAGTGCTGGTCATGACGGTGGAGCCAGGCTTTGGTGGCCAATCCTTCATGGGCGACATGATGCCCAAAGTAGAATGGCTGCGCACTAACTATCCCAATCTGGACATCGAAGTGGATGGCGGCGTCGGACCAAAGACCATCGATTGCTGTGCCAAAGCCGGTGCTAATTGGATTGTATCCGGCACAGCTGTAGTCGGTGCTGCCGATCAGCGTGAGGTCATAAGCGAGTTGCGGAACGTGGTGAAAGGTTACCTCAACTGAAGCTAAAATGCATTTAGCCAAATAGAATTTGTAACTTAAGTACAACATGAGTCTACACTTAACAAAGTCAAATTTCCAAATTTCCAGTTGTAAAAGACACAGAAAATGTATAACATTTATAAACGTTTTAATGAACTGTTAAGCCAAACGAATATATATATTATGTTTTTATACTCCTTTGAAAGTTTGTTGTTTTTTTGTATGCTTTTGAGCGCGTATTTTTTAGGCTGTGAAGGAGTGGCTTATCAGGAAAGACACTCAGAGATTTTAGCTTTAATATTTGCATTTATGTTTCAAAAGTTAAGGCTACTCCTCTATAGAATATTTTATATGTATATCAATACATACTTAATAATGGGCAGAAGGAGGCGTGGCAGACGTCAATAAGTATAGCCCCGCCAAAGGCCTAAGTGCTAGAACCTTGAAATTTGAAATGTAATTATTACATTTTAAGTAGCTTAAATTATATAAAATGCAATAATTATTTATAGTTTTATACATTTATTTTTCAACATTTATATATGTAAGTATATAGTATGTATATATGTATGACATTTTGCTTATAGCATTTAGTTGGTTATACGTGTTTATGTGTGTGTGTCTGTGTGTGTAGTTACACTTAGATTTATGCACATTTGTAGTTATTGTACGGCAAGAATTGTTTAAATTTGATTCGGGTGTGTTTTTCGCCCTCTTTAATACGATTTTGGTTTACAAATATATCATAAATATGCCGCGAGGCCATATTTCTAAAGGGACAAAAACACAAAGTCAGTTTCAATTTTATTGTCAATTGTTCTTCGTTTTGTTTTTTCTTTTTATAGTATATGTAAATTCTTTATAAAGTTCATCTTCGTCATTATCATCATCTTCGTCTTATTCTTTTGCTGTCAAATTTGTGCATAATTAACAAGTGCATTTCACCAAAATGATCTCATCTTCAAGCACATATATATATGTGTGTATATGTATATGCCGATATCTGTGTAAACACACACCATGTATATATGTATGTATATATATATATATATGTAAATTCAACTAGCTTTCCTTATTTAGTTTTCCTTTTAAATCAGCTTTTTTCGGTTTGCAAATTTTTGCTACATTTTACATTTAACATTTTCGCTACAATTTTTTTTTAGGTTTTTATATTTTTCATATTGTCCTTGTTTAATTTACTTGGTTTTTATTGTTAAGCACATTGAAATTGAACAGTTTTGTGAGCGCATTTCATATAGATTTTTTATTATTATTATTTTTTTTTTTGATTTTTATATTTAAAACAAATTTTCTTGTTCCTTTGAAAGTTTTTGGTTTTGTTTTTTTTTTTAAATTAAAAATTAAAAATTAAATATAAATAAATAAACACGCATAGGCCCATTTCATTTGTAAGCATAGCAATTGTAGCTAATATATATTTATATATGTATGTATATATATATATATATATATATATATATATATATATATATATATATATGTATATATATGTTTTATCTGTGTGTGTTGATTGTGCTTAATTGTAACCATACTAATGTAGCTGTACTTCTTGACATGCTGATCATATATATATATATATATATATATATATATGTATATATGTATATATATATATAGTATATATGCTTTTATATAACATATTTCACTTGCCAATGCTAAGCATTATTACATCTATATATAAATGTATATATATATATATATGTTTTTAGACTAAATATACATAAAGCTAAGCGTTGGTTTTTCTTTTTATTTTTCTTTTATAGGGTATAGCCCAGATCCTTAGCATGTTCACAAAATTGCAATGAAAGTAAAGTATATTTAATGAAATGTGGAACAGTGTGTCCAAAGCTGACGAAACCAAGTGCAAAAATTGTGAAGGCAAACAGTAAATTAGAGCACATGCAGACTACATAGTAAATTGATCTTAGCTATAAGCATATATGTAATTCACTTCTGTGTGTGTGTGTCTAATATATCTAAGCATGCCACACACACATACATATATATATATATATATATATATATATCTGTATAAACATTTGCATATGTTTTGTATAAATTTTTAGACACCATCACATCTGCTTAAAGCTAAAGCTACTTTATATATATATAGATATATATCTATATACTTTCGATATATGTATATTTTGTTGTATATATATTTCACTTATCATAATTTCTTTATTCTTTTTACTTTTCTTTTAAAGTATTTTCGTGTGCCTTGTGTAATATGCGCTTCATTTTCATTTAGGCTTAAAGTAGTACTAGGTATACTTGAATACTCTATATATTTGGTTTTCCTTTTTGGGTTTTCCTTTTGTAAACTGATTGTACAAAACATGCATATACATTTTGTCTAATGCTATACTCTTTGTATTTTTGGGGATTATACACATACACACATTGATATATATATAGTCGTAATACTCGTAATACTCATCTAAAGCATTTCGTCAACAAGTTTTAGCTAGAAATGATAGTTAACTAGGAAATCATATATCAAGTTGATTTGTTCGTTTTTTTTTTAAGCCTGAAACAACCAATTTTGAGTCTTTAGTTACGCATTTACTTTCATATAGCTACACACATATATATTCATATATATATATATATATATAGTACTAGATGGCATAGGCATAGGCATAGTTAGGACCAGGCGCCTAAGCGAAACTGAATTTCAACTAAGTGCAAAAACATTTATTTATTGATTGTTTCTCTTTTTTTTGTTTACTCTTCTCTCATAACTAAAAAGCAACTACTATACATTTGAGAATAGTATATATAGTATATATATATTGAAGAGAGAGATTTTCTTTCTTGGCAAAACAAAAACAAAAACAGTTAAACAAATATTTCTAACATTTAGTTTTGTATATAGCTATAAATTTAAGTTTTTCTTTACATTTTTAAAAAGCATGTATACTCCTCTCTCTCTCTGCCACTCTCTGTCCCTTTCTTTGTGTGTAAATAGTACATCAATTTAGCCTTCAATATATATATGCATGTATAATACATATATATATATGTATATATATAGTTGAGTATTTCCTTTTTCCACATTCAATTTATTTATTTTTGTATTTTGTTTAAAGCTGAAACCCACGCATTGTAGTTAAGTATTTTCATGACTTTTGCTATAACTAGGTATAGTTCTTATAGAGAAGTTTTTCTATTACATTTAAGAACAGCTACAGTTAAGTTTTAGTTGCAGTATCTTTACTTTATTGTCCCTAGCACATTTGATTAACCGAAAGATCATTTCAAATGCTTTAGATCAGCAATTGTTTTTTGTTTCTTCTTCTTCTTCATCTTTGGTATTGTCCATAGTTTTTAGTGTTTTTTTTAGATCTCTAAGTAGAATTATTATAATGTTTGTGCTTAGTTTGTTACTTTATCTTTTTCTTGGCGGCAATCATACATTTTTGTTTACAGTTAGATTTGCTTTATATTAGTTATACAGACACCAAAGTGTTTACATTTATCTTAAGCTAAGCCGTGTAGTGTTTTCAATATTTCTCTTTAGTTTCGTGTTTTTTCATATTTTCATATTTTATTGTCCACAATTGTTTAATTTATCTTAGACACATCGATACACAAGGATTATGTTTGGGTATATGTATTTATATATATATATATATATTTCTCTATATATATGTATTTATTCATTGACATTTGGTTTCTGATTTCTTTGCTGATTCCATAGAAAACTCTGTGTAAAAAAATTGACAAATAAATTCGGCAAAAATTGACATTTCGATTATGTTGCCCAGGGTTAAGTTGAATTCAATTCATATCATTCAATGCGGTTTCAAAATACCTCAAGTTCAGTAGCAAAATATATATATATACACATTTATATGTATATATATATATATATGTATATGTATAGGGTATGTATGTGTTTGTGTGTGTGTGTATTGAGCACAACTGCTTTTTGGCTTTGTGCTTTGTGCAAACGTTTCAAGGATATGCTGTATTCAAAGTTCATATGCCATATTCATATTCATATTCATATTCATATTCATATTCACTATATAGGCTAGGTATACATATGTATTTAGTGGTATTACAATTACTTCTGCTCGTTTACTTACGCTCCTCGCTATCGTAGAAGTCAATGCCCTTCGGCTTGCCGTTGTGATAGTTGAAGGGCTTGCGCTTCCTTACCGGACCCGATGACATTTTCGATAGTATATCTGGTCCACCCGGATGTAGATCGTATTTTTGCACCGGCTCCTCGCTGGCTGGACGTGAATATTTCTGTATTTGCTCGTTGATCCAGGGCACATACTTGATGACATTCGCATAGACGCCGGGCAGCTTGGGATGGGCGCACATTATGCCCCACGAGACGATGCCGCCAACAAACCAGCGATCCTTTTCGCCAGGATACGGACACAGCAGAGGTCCGCCCGAATCGCCCTTAAAAGAGAGACAGTGAGACCTGTTTAGGTATGTGTTGATAAAGTGTCCTAGATTGGAAATCAGTTTATCAAGCGTTTTGCGAGCTAAGAAGGTGACAGCTCGAAAGATCACTAATTCAATAGGTTTGTCTTTGTGGAACTTTGAGTGACGCTTTGAGACTGATTGCTTATTATAAAAATTAGTTTAAGGAACAAACGAGAGATTGTACGATCAGGACATGCCTTAAAGCCTTACTTAAAGATAGCTTAAAGTCCTCGCTGCTCACTTCAAGCACACTGAGCAAGCTAGGCCAAAGTCTATATCAACTTGTCATCTGTAGATGAATTCTATACTCAAATTGTTGTTGTTTCAGATGTTAAAAGGAAGCGGAAGTATATTCTATAGCAAGTAATTGTTGCTGTGTATGCTTTTGTAGATTAAGCTCAGCGAGTTCCGCAGTAGATCCATCGGACAATCGGACAATAGGACAAGGAAGTAATTGCGTCTGCCTATGCTTTTAGAGAATAACTCCGTCGACCTATAAGACTATTATCTAGAGTTGTATATATATATAGAGCTATATAGACTCATGTTACATCTATATAGAAGCTCACCTGACAGGCATCCTTGCCACCATCATCGTAGCCCGCACAGACCATGCCCTCGGATACGGTTAGATTATCCAGCCATTCGTCACATTGATTGCGCGTAATGATGGGCACCTGCACCTCATTGACTATAAACTCATAGGTGGACTTGGCTGCAATGACCATAAATAAACATATATTAAAGTCTAGACAAAAAGAGAGGGAGAGAGAGTGAGAGCTAGACAGAGCCTAAAGCCTTACGATCCTTGTCCTCACGCTTGCCCCAGCCAATGACCGTGCACAGCTGCTCGGGTCGCAGATTCTTGATGCTGGGCGGCGGCAGACAGACGGGCAGCAGATGCTCATGGAAAGCAACACGAGTGGCAAGCTGCAAAAGAACCAGCAGAAACTAAATACCAGAAAAGATCAAGCAACTCGGAAGTAGCTCACCTGAAAGAGGGCTATATCGTTGTCATGTGCTATGGCCATGTTGTACTGCGGATGTGGTATGACTGTTCGGACCTTGACCTTTTGACCCGTATAGGTGAAGGAATTGCGACGCGTAACGCCCAGCTGTATGGTCCAATCCTCCAAATCAATAACCGTATGACTGCCAAGAATGAAGTTGGTCTAACTCTGTCTATATCTATCAAGCTGCGGCTGGAACTTACTTGCCCACACAATGGGAGGCCGTGAGCACCCACTGATCGGAGATGAGAACGCCTGCGCAGTAGAATACCTTCTCGGGTCCACCTAGGATGGCAGCCAGGAAAGGCCAATTGCCGGGATTCGCCTGGGAGCCGCCAATGATGCGTCTAGAGGGCTTGTGACGTCCGCGCTTGACCTTGCCGCACTCTGGACAAAAAACAGAAATGGATTTAGCTCTGGATTCGGAGCAACTCTCTTGCTTAACCCACCGAAATTGGAGCATGTGAGCTCAGCTATGGGATAATCCTCTGTCTGCCGGCAGTTGGCGAATTCCTGCATCAGCGTCGAGCGGCGTTTGGCATACAGCTTCCAGATGTCCGTGGAGACATTCACCGAGGCCAGCAGCGGACGATGCGTGCGCTGGGTAACCACGCTGGTAGCATTCACAGCCGAATAGCCCAAGATGGAGCAGACAGCGCTGGGCGAGACGGCGCGATCCCAATTCTTGACACAGGCCGGCATCCATTGGCGCTTGTTCATGCGAAACACCTCCAAGACGCCCGAGCCCACATCGCCGTTGCGTTCACTCAGACGCACTGCAGCATAAAGTGAAGAAGCCTTATCAACTAGCTGCAAAAGGAATTGAGGTCGCAAGCAAATACGTACGACAATTGCGTTCGTCCTGCGCGTAGGGACAGTCGATGACGCCATCGCAAATGTGATCGATGCTAATGCAACGATCATCGCCGCAATAGATTTCGCCCTCGTGACAGCGCGAGCAGTTGCCCTCGTCCTCCTGGTCCATGCAGTCCAAATGGCCATCGCAGACATATTCCTTGGGCAGGCAACGACTGGTATCGCACTGGAAGCCATCGCACTTGGGATTTGCCGACGACACCATCACCTCACGCACCTCATCCAAGCCCACGCAGTCCTCGGCACTGGAGAAGTCCTTGAAGAGCTTGCAGTTCAAATACTCCGGCAGACTCAAGCCAAAAACGTCGAAAAAGAAGCCACAGCGACGCATTGTTTCCGTGCAGAGCGTCTTGCAGGGCGGCACAGCGGCGCTGCAAAAGGGTCACATAAGGGACACGGACTATGCGCTTCAAGTGCCGCACACTTACCCAGTTTGTCCACACTTGGGCACAAAGAGCGTGCACAGGAAGAGCGAGACTAGCTCATAGCAACGCACATCGACCAACGCCTCGAAGGAGTCAAGATCCTGCGAACGAGATTGCTTAATGCACTGACTGATAATTGGCGTCATATTTACCACTTGCGTCTCCAGCTGGCCAAAGTGCCCAATGTAATTGGGAAATACGGTATAATTGTAGGGTATCTGCGAGCCCTGGCAGAACTTGATGATGATGGGCAGGCAGGTGCCCGGTGCGGGATTCTTGCCAAAGTTCGACGTGTCCTCCACATGGATGGTGTTGATGATCGTCTTGTTGACGAACTTAATTGTGGGATACGCATTGAAGTAGGCAGCCAAGCCGCCGGCAATGGCGAGCAAGGCGAATGCATTGATCAGGATTTGGAATAGGCGAAACTTCAAGCGACCATTGGTGATGTACGGATTCGAGCTCTTGCGACGATTGATGATCTGTGCAGAGACGTAGCGCGTCATGAATGGGCAATGGGAGAGTGGGGAGCTGCCTTACCTGATGCTGCAAGGACATGGTGTGCGGTGCGCCATTCTGGAAGCGCACGATGGTTTGTAGGCTGCTGGGCGTGGCACTGGCGCACTTGTTGAGCGGCGACAAGGTTTGCGGCGGCTCCAGCTCCTCGATGGGCTCATGTTGCACGCCCTGGCGACAGACAATGGGCGCTGGCGCGCTGCACAGCCGCTTGGCGGACAGCGAGGGCAACAGCGGCGCCTCCATTAGCTTGGGATTGTAGCCAGGACTGGAGGTCTGGCTGAAGCTATCGCTGGATATCGTCGAGTCCTGGCGGAAATTCATTTTGCCACGCATCGGCGTCGCCTGCTGCTGACTGCTGCCGGAGCCAATGGCAAAACGTGTGGGTACCAAATCCATCAACGGCTGTCGCTGCACCACGCTGGGCGCTTGACTCTTGCGCGCTGTCTGCGTGGCGGCGAGCAGCGGCGTCTCCATTAGCTTCGAGTTGTAGCCCGGACTGGAGCTGATTGAGTAGCTGTCGCTGGAGAGCGTCGAGTCCTGGCGCTGCTGCAACTTGGGATAGACGATGGGCGGCGGCTTCTTGCGCGTCAGCTTGTTGCGCACGGTCAACGGCGGCGGCGGCGGCTGATGCACTTTGGCCACATTATCCATGCACTCGAAAGCACTGAGATTGCGTAGGGGCGGCTCCGGCGGACCTGGACGTTTCGCTTGATTGTTGGCTGCGATTGCGGCCACGGCGCCGGCAGCCTCAGCGCCCGAACTGGATGACATGGTGGCACTGGATATGGTGCTGGAGCCGCTGCCAGCGGATGAAGTTGACGCCGAGGCCGAGACACTGCTGCTGCTCTCCTTGCTGCTGTCACTGGAGCAGTTATGGCTGCTCTTCGGATTGGGCGGCGGCGGTGGCAGCTTGGCCGGCAGCTGCGGCAGCTTACGGGCCGGCACCTGCGGCAACTTGTTGTTGTTGGGATTGCTGTTGCTGCTGTTGCTGCTGTTGATGCTGTTGCTGTTGCTGCTGTTGTTGTATAGATTGTTGTTGAGCTTGTGCATGACATCGTTGAGTGCGGCTCTCTCGAGACGGCACGTGTCCTTGGCCAGCGGCGAATCAATCGAAATGCTCGGAGGCTTCTCGTCCAGCGACGATTGCGTGTCCACCGAGGAGAAGCGACTGCGAAAATCGACGCTGGTCGAGCTGGAGGCGAACCGCTCGCTATGCCCGCCCGTCGAGGAGCCGTACGCCGAGTCGGCGGTGCTGCTCGAGGAGCGCTGGGCACGCTTGGCCATCATGCCATAGCGACTGCTGCCTTGCGCATAGCCGGCGACCTTGACGGGTGTCGAGGTCAGTGACTCATCGAAAACGGAATTCTCCAAGCTCATGCGGTCGTCATCGGATATGCCATCGGCATCCGCGTATGTCGGACGTGCGGCCAGGTCAACAAGCAGCGCTGATTGTGCCACGCTCTCTGCCCCGCCCACACCACCGCCACTCGCTGTGCACTCAATGCTCTGGCTTGTTGGCTGCGGATAAACAAATACGCTGCCATTGCCAGCTGCAGCAGCAGCGGCGGCGGCGGCGACGGCGGCAGCGGCGACTATATCCTGGCCAACATCCTGGCTGCCGTTCTGCCAGCCGCATTTGACGGCGCGCATCAGGCGACGTGGTATCGGCGGCGGTGGCGTTACGGGCGTGTCCACACGCACCAGCTGCTGCTGCTTGGCTGACTTGCAATATTTCTGATCCGCCATGTTTACCTGTCGCACACACACACACACACACACACACGAACAGAAACGTGAAAGTAGAAAGTCAAATGGCAATTCGGGCGGGCAATGAGTCAGTCTAAGCCGGCGCTAAGCCGCAGTGCAAAATCTGACACAGCTCACTCTTCTCCTGCCTCTCTCTCTGGCCCACTCTCTCACTCTCTATGGGCTGCACAGCCAAGTCAGCAGCTTGGCTAGCATCTGGGTGGGGCTGCGGGCTGCTCTGAACTCTGTTTGCCCGCAGATTTGCGCGCGTGGCACACTAAACATTTTTGACGCTGACGGCGGTTTGACGCTGATGCGGGCAGAGAGCTAAAACGCGGGCGCATTGGGGCCCGACATTGTGCAGCGCGTGCATAGCACAGTTGCTGGTGGCGGCGGGTGCCAGGGGCAGCTGTGAAGCTGTGCTATCGATAAATTATGCACCGCCAGCGAAAGTTTGCCCGCATAACTAAGTGCAACAGTGCTGAGCAGCTAGCTTTTTTATGGCCAAATTGTTTAGCATGTATTTTGAACTCGAATCGACTAACTACGAAAACTTGACTAGAAATTTAACTGAAACAAAAGCAAACAAATTTCAAGAGTTCTGATGGCTAATAAACTAAAAGCCTAATTGCCAGCTCTAATAGAGTTTGCGCTTAAGCTTAAGGCTTAAGCCAGTTGCTGAGTGCCTGTTTAATCGTTTGCACTTTACTGAAACAAACTTTTGAGTGGGTCAAAAGCAACTCGTGAGCTAGTTTTTGGCAGTAAAAAACGTAGGCAAAACGTGGCAGTAGATGAAAAGTTATTGAATTAGAAATGTTGCTGTGCTAAAGCAGAGCTAAAGCTGCTAAGAATTTGAAGCATAAAGATCATAAGCTTTTAACTGTCTGAGCATAAGTAAAATAGTTAATTTACATTTAAAACTTGCTGCTTGAACAGGTCTTTTAGCCTGCTTGTAAATGGGCAAAGTAAGGCAAAGTTTCATCATCCTCGAGAATTTTTGTTTCTAATTCATATTTGCCTTAAAAGTAATTTAGTTTTATATTGTAGTAAATTAGCTGAGCTGCTGAGTGTTTAACTATAATAGAACTGACAATTGCTGCCTTGAAGGGAAACTTCTTTTAAGTCTAATATGAGCACTAAGTAAAAGGTTTAACTCACTAAACTTGTGCTAAAATCTTAATTATATGAAACTTGTGATATTTATAAACATATGACAGTACACATATAAAAGCATATATATAAAATATAAAATATATATAGTATACGAAAATGCTCAATAAAAATCTAAAAGCAAGCTTAACCATAGCTCGTCAGACTTTAAAGTCTAAATAAATCTTCTAAGCAAAATATTAAAATAAAAAGTATATTTGTAAGCCTGCAGCAGCAGCAGAGTCCCATAATTACTATAATTAAAAAATACTAGTTGAGCAGTGCTCTTATTGCCTTTAAGCAAAAGCCTTTCCTTTACACTGAATTATGTTCAGTTTCAAAAGATTTTCTGCCCAACAGAGAGACATTTCCAAAGTGGAGCTGCACAACACGTAAGAGCCCTGTAGTTAACTTGATTATATATAATCTTGATTATCATTTCTCATAAGACTTATGAGTTGAAAGTTGTATTTGATTTGAAACTAAATAAAAAGTACATTTGAAGTCAAAGCGAAAACCTTTTTAGCCCCGGCTCAGTTTATTTAGTTTGCAGCTCAGAAGTTGTAGCTAAATTAAATAAATAGCTAAGTACATTGAAAGTCAGCCCTTTGAGGGATTTTCATTGACTCACCAGCAAATCGGCGGCAGATTGCGGCAGTTGTGGGTTTGGCTTCTGCTTGTCCTCGAGCATGGGATAGTAGTGGGAGGAATGACGACGCACAATGCTGCTGGAGCTGCTGCTGCTGCTGTTGTTGATGTTGTCGATGTTGTCGATGTTGGTGCTGCTGTTGCTGTTGCTATTGTTGCCGCTGGGCAGCGGCAGCAAAGTAACCGATTTGCATTGCTCCTGCTGCTTGTCGTAAAAGTCCAGCAGTGAGTTGAGCGGCAAGGCCAAGCTCGAAGCGCGTTCCGAGCTACAAATCAGACGAAAGACAGCACTTTAATATAAGTAAGGTAGACTGGGTAGGAGGGAGAGATGGGCACTTACCGTGTTCGATTGCGTTGGGCATCGCTCGAGTGCGATTCGTGCGAAACGCTTAGAAATTGTTTATTCATATCGAGTGCGTTCATGTTTTAATCAGCGTCATTAAGCGAAATCGAACTGCAAATATATGAAAAAGTTTCAACATTTAGTTAGCGCAAAACTTTTGCCAGCACTCGATAAACTTATCAAACACACACACACACACACAGACAGTGAGATGAAGCGTGGCGCACATGCTGTGCATAACAAATGCGAACGAGCAGCGCATGCAAAACACTCGCCACATGAATAAAAATCAATTATGCAATGGCTCACACTTTGGCTTAATACGTGCCCACAAATGTCCAGACAAAAGTGCAGGATACGCTTCATACAATATGAGTGAGTGTGTGTGGGAGTGTGTGCGTGTGAACGGAAACGTTGCCATGCCACGCAATTTGGCCTTTTATGTCTAATGGATATGCCATTAGCTCGGGCCACATAACAAAACATCGCACAGACAATGACATTGGCCTCTGGCTTTTTGGCCTCTCGCCTCTCGTGGCACGACGCCCGCATTAGAGATACCAAATATATTGCCATTGCCCATTGGCCATATTATCAAGAGTTGTCACAGCGCTGAGCACGTTTCTCTATAGACTGTTACCCAATTGCCAGCAGCTGGGCAGGGATATTGTATGTATATTAGTCAGCTAATATATGTATTCGCGCATATCTTTGATTTATTACCTAATCAAGCTTTGCTTTATATATATATTCATACAAAATTCTATTTTATTAGTGCAAGCAATTCTGATCTTAAGTAACTTCATAATAAGCTTCTAAGCTTGCCACTTGTCTGAACTTCAGCTTGACCTATTCAAGTTAATCTTGGATAAGTGAATGGAGAAGATGTTCATTAATCTATCACACACATAATCAAATCATAAACTTAGGCCCGTTTTTTTATATAGCTCAAACTTAACTCAAATTTCTTAGACTTAAGAATTATTAGTTAGACATTAGCCGAAGCTTATATTTTACAAAAAAGAAATAAGAAAAAGCAATTCTATAATAATTAATAAAATATGTTAGAATAAATATACTTAAAGAAACGTACTTCTAGTCAAATTCTCAATGAGGCATATGTAGAGGTTTAGCCTTAGATTTGGTTAACTTAGTTTTAAGCCTTCAAAAAGTCTTATCTAACAGGCTATAACAAATTTGCTACATTAACAACATTCAAGACAATCTAATATATATAGGACTTTTAAGCGAATATAAGTGTTTAAGCTGCAGCAATCTATGTTTAACTAGTCGGCTTTAAATTATTAATTTAAAAATCTAAAATTATTATTATTAATATAAAATTCTAAAATTATTATTATTAATTTAAAATTCTAAAATTATTATTATTAATTTAAAATTCTAAAATTATTATTATTATTTATATTCTAAAATTATTATTATTATTTAAATTCTAAAATTATTATTATTATTTAAAATTCTAAAATTATTATTATTATTTATATTCTAAAATTATTATTATTATTTAAAATTCTAAAATTATTATTACTACTTAAAATTCTAAAATTATTATTATTATCTAAAACTCTGAAATTATTATTATTAATATAACATTCTAAAATTATTATTTTTTTTTTTTACATTCTAAAACTAATAGGAACACTCTGCTTACAAATAAAGATTCCTTTTCTTATAAATATCTGCTCTCTAATGCCATGGATCTTGTGTGCTTCTTATGTTTCTAAACTCGATTGTTCTCTACTTTGAGTATGATCATATTCTATAATAAATACTATATATATGACTCTAATTACTATAATAAAAATGTCTGCAAGAAAACATTGTTAGCTAACTATGCTTAGATATATTGGATAAGTTTTAAAGCTTCTCAAAAACTGAACCCATTGAAGATACGAGTTCGAAGTATAATATTTAATCTCTCTTAGATTTAGTGAAGCTTCATTCACACAGTTATATAGGTAATAAATAATAGAATATATAGCACTCAATATAGTTCAAAAGAACTTAACTAGTTCAGCAATGAGATAATTTTTCAATCTTTTTCTATAATAATATTTCCATTATGATTACTTTCGCCATTTACAGTTACATAGTTAATTGAGCTGAACATATTAATAGCTGCTGAAATGAAGGCAACTTTGAACAAGTGAATTCGTTTCGCCAGCTAAAGCACTTAATCAATGCCAGTGATTCGACGGTCACGTGCGCATCCCTCTTGCCCTATGCCAGAGTCGGAGTCAGCAGCAGCCGCCTCTTCCTCGCTCTCTCTGTTTGTAGTTATAGTTCATTATTGTCATATTTGTTTATATATATATATTTATACAATATGTGGCTGGTAAGTGACTGTGCTTTATTGTCAGCCGCTTTCATATTGCCCAATATTCATTTGTTGACACACCCCCGCCCAGCTGCTGTGGAAAACTGTGTCAGCAGCTGAGCCTTAAAGCTGTCAGCATATAATACACAATATTATGATGGCTCCATTGCCTTTGACATGGCTGGCTAAAGTGGCCTTAAAGCTGTTGTTGCCTGCCTGGCAGTTGGCAGAGCGAAATAATTGAGCGATTTATGACTTACGCTCAATGCCGTTGATTGAAAGCCGCCAGCTGGCAGTCAAAAGCAATTCACATCGAGTCGAGTCAATAAAACTGTTAATTAACTTTTAAACCAAAAGCAGTACAGGGTATCTTCTGTGTGTGTGTGTGCGTGTACTGCTGTGACCTCAATGTGTTGCACACATTTTTCCAGTTGTTCGCCATTCCAATAAGAGCTGAACAACGCTGGCGTCAGAGCGAGACAGGTGCAACAGGTGAAAGTGAAATGCAAGCCAACAGGAGAAAAATCAGGACAATGCATATACACAGCAGCAGTGGACGTGGCGACACCAAGCAGCGCTAGAGAGTGGGAGAGTGCCGAGCTCTGCTTGATAATGTGTCAAGGACGATAATTGACACTAATAGGATTCAGTCAACTTTGACAAGTGCACACGGCTACAACAACAGCAGCCTGCCTGCTTGAATTCCAGGAACTGTTTACCATTCGGCCGACTGCTGTGATATAATTTTACATATTGCACAGCGTCGGGCGAGCCAATAGTCAATTCAATTGGCTTCAGTAATGACCGTGAGCAGCCTCACATTTCGTCCAATTAGGGCCAAGCAAATGGCGAGCACAGATCCTAGTTACAATATATATATATATATATATATGTGTGTATCTAAAGGTATATATTGGCCATGCTAATGAGCCTGGCCATAATTCTCGAACATTTTAAAGCTCTCCGGCAGCAAATTTAAATTGAAATCAACAATTTTTTTTAAGCTGCTTCAAGATTTTCCGTTTGTATTCTTAGGCGGCATATTATCTTTTTACTGTAATTTAATGCTACTTTAAAATATATATTTATATGAAAAAAAATCTAAATTATGTTTCAACTGGATTTTTTTATATTTTTATATATAATATTTGGGCTTGAAGAAATTTTGATACAAATATTTTTATTGCATACTGAGCGATTAAATTTTGATAAAATTGTATAAAAATATATAAAAAAAAATAATAAAAATAGAATATATATAAAAAAATAAATAAATAACATTCAGAATTATTTGGTATTCAAATTTTTATTGCTGAACTTATTGAATATCGGATTTTGGTTTGTCAAAATAGGGTATCTGCTAGTCGAGCACTCCCAACTAGCAAACTCTTATTGAATATAACTATTTAGTTACTAGACAAATTCTTTCTGGAAAAGCTAAAGTAAAATTAGCTATTAAAGCTGTAAAGACTAAATGGACTTGAAAGCTTAAACACTAAAAGGAACTGGGAAAAATATTTAGTACAAATCAATCTGAAATATAGTACATAAAATAAATTTTCATATATAATATATTTATCAAGAGCCGGAATCTTTGTAATAAATATGCAGAAATTCGATTTCAAAGCCATTTCAAAACAGGCAAACCAAAACTTTGCGGTTATAAGACAGAGAGGAAAACTCTGACTGACTGACAGTTCTCAAGAAAATGGAAAATATTTCTATTTTCTTATTGCATTGCCATGCACATTTTTCCAGTTAGTTAAAGTGCAAATATTTCAAGGATTTGCACTGCAAATATTTCTGAACTCAACTCGCAGCTTTAAGTTGTTTTTGCCCGCATTTCGTATTTCGTATTTCGTTTTTTGTGCTCGGTGCGCACAAATAACTTGCTGATTAACTTCAAATTCCATTTGCCATTTCCATATGCCGAATGTAATTTACTGCGTTAACTTTGCGCAAATATTTTCAGAGAACAACAACAACAACAGCAAGCAGCAGCAGAGGCATTAACAGCTGTACAACTAGACGTATACTTAATACTGTTTGCCAAAGCAATCAGACAACAAGAAGAAGATGCAGCAGCAGCAGCACCAGCCACCAGCGGAGTAAAAAGCAAAGTTTATTTGGAATTTAAACCTTTTCAGTCGCATTTTGGCCTTGATTCTGCAACAACAACAAAAGAATTTTGTTTGTGCTTTTTTTTTGTGATTGGTGATTTGCGATCTGCGATTTGTTTGGCCTTTTAGGACAAATTCTGTATTTTGTAGTTGAAAAATTGAGACGCGGCACATGCGAGACGAGTTCAAGACCAAAAAAGGAGGCGATGACCCCAAATTGAGTGGAAGAAGGAACAGCAGCAAGCATAAGAGTGGCAGCAGCAGCAGCAGCAGAAGAAGGAGCAGGAAGCAGCAGTAAAAGCAAGACAAAGAGTAGAAAGAAAATTAAAAGGAGTTAAGCCAGCAGCAGGAGCAGAAACAGGAGCTGGAACAGAAGCAGGATCAGAACTTGAAGTCTGGGCAGATGCCTAAGCAGAAGAAGGCGCTGGAACAGCAGCAGGAGCAGGAGCAAGAGCAGGAGTAGAAGCAGAAGCAGGATGAAAGAGCAGCATTGGCAGTAGGATAAGAAGCAGGAGCCGAGCCAGGAGTAGGAAGAACGGCAGGAGTAAGAACATGAGCAAGAGGACTGGAGGCAGTAACAGACGCTGAAGCAGGGGCAAAGGCAGGAGCAGAAATTGAAGAAGTACGAGCTGAAGCAGAAACAGCAGCAAAGG